GCCCTACCCCTAGAGTGTTTTCCAGAGCCCGGAGGCGCGGAGGGGGAGCAGCCCCCGTCCGCTGTAACAAAGCCACAGCTGCGGAGGGGAGCATGAATGCCTGTGAACCTTTGTTACGCAAGGTCGGAGGGGCTGCTCATCCCGCAGCGTCGGAGATGATGCGGAAGTGCAGTGTATAACAAAAAAAATTGGTAGAAAACTTTAAAGACGCATATATTCCTCCTTTCTCTCTTCTTTCCAATAACTGAAAATTGTTGGCTGCCAAAGAAAACTCTCGATGGTTGTATAATAATCTTGACATGAAAATCATAAAATAAAAAATAAGGCTGTATGCACTTTGCTTATTTTGCCTTATCTAAAAAAAGAGAATATAAAAAAAACAATGTGATTTGTCAAAATGGTGTTAGAGTTTTTTGGCGGGATTTCATCGAGTGCGGTTGGCGTCTTATTTTAATTATTCTTAAATTCGTTCATAGTGGATATTGTGAAATAAAATTGTTGTGGTTTTGTGTAACAACTGTTTGCGTAACTGAAGAATTAGTGGAATCGTTAAAATATACGCTAATCCGGTCAAGTGGACGTGAGAATTTTATTGTAGTGTTGACTACCTCACAGAAGCTTATCGAAAAAGTCAACTCAATACATTTCGTGCCAAACACTCCAAGAAACATTAGAATGCGTCACACCGACATTCTAATGTAAAAAGAAAAAGAAGATTAATTTAATTAAAGACCAGGCTGTATGGGCATTGTTCCCTTTGCCTTCCCTAAAACGGGAGAACTTCAACAAAAAAATGGTGTTATTTGTTTACTAGAAAATTAATATTCAATATTTTATTTTTCTCAAAAACTATTAGTGCTAACTTTGCATAGAGACTTCATTGACCTTTTCACCCAAAAATAGTGAAGTTCAATTCTTGGGCCCTGGATTCCTCAAGTTTTACCTAAATCTCAATAAATTCAATAAAAATAGCCGAGAATCTGAATTAAAATAGGAAAATATGCATATAAAGAAACCTAAATACTTAGACGCAATTTGTTATTGACTGACAGATGACACCTAATACTATTGGTTTAAATTCATTTCCTTTATTGTGATTGGTTGTATAAAAAATCACGTGATTTCTTTTTTTTTTGTTTTTCAAGGCAAAGGCAAAGCCATGCAGCCATACTCTATAATCTAATATTTTTGTATTAATCTTCCTTTTTTACATAAGAATGTGGGTGTGACGCATTCTAATGTTACTTGGAGTGTTTGATACAAGATGTATCGAGTCAGCTTTCTCGAAAAGCTTATGTGAGGAAGTCAACACTACAGTAAAGTTCTCACATTAACTTGACCGATATAGCGAATATTTTAAAGATTCCGTTAATCCTTCAGTTGCGCAGACGATTGTAACACAAAATCACACCAATTTTATTTCACAATATCCACTATGAAAGAATTTAAAGAATAGTTAAAATATGACGCCAACCGCACTCGATGAAATCCCGCCAAAAACTTTCCACGTGATTTCCGTAGCTAAGTTTTATTATCATAATATATTATCTGTATTGTCATTTACAAATGGATAATAAACCCCATTTATATTTTTGATGAATTTGGCGTATTTTTCTACACATAAATGCATGATAATACTTGAGGTACAAAATTGGGGAGAGTTGTATGGAGAAAAGAATGGATTCTTTGCTTTCGACACTTTTTGAGCGCGATTGTGGGACTATTGTACGACAATAGGGAAGATGCAATATTTTTATTTTTGTTTTCATTTTAAAGAATTCCATGTAGAATAAACCACAGATATATTAAAAAATTAAAACATTGTGATTTATCGGAAAAAATGCGGTTTTAAATTGACAATTTAAATTTTCGCGCGAAAACGAACCTATGGTTGCGATGACGTCACTCCTGTCTGTCAATGGTCGTAATTGTTCGTTGCTGGCTTTAAATTTTCATACTTTTGCATATTTTTTCGACTTTCGAAATATTTTTTTGTAAAATTTAAAATGGACTATCCATCAACATCATGTGATCATAACAATACCACTAATATTCCGAAAAAAAGCCGTGTTGACTCATGTTTTGTGCCAATCTAATTCAACAAAGTTCCCAAATAAATTGTTTTTGACTGGAACTTCTGACCCAAAACTGAAAAAAAAGTGGTTTCAAGCTGCGAAGAGAAATGACAATTATTCTCCAAAGACCATTATTTGATGCTGAGAAGATCACTTTGACGTAAGTCAGCGAATATACTTGTTAGATAGATAGATAGATAAAACTTTATTCACACCAACATGCACACATACAAAATTGAATACAAATTTTACAATTATATAAATCCTTTAAAAATATAACAAATTATATTTATACAAAAATACTGATATTTTCGTGTGCAGCAGCGATGCGAATGGGCGAAAACTCAGCGTAACATTTACTCCGAGAGTAAATCGCTGATTTTCAGTTCTGACCCATATAGACGAGGTCACGCAATTAAATGTCAGATTAAAATTCACAATACAATAAACGAATATACTTGTTATATGCTTAATTAATCTGTTTGTACGTAAAAACGCATCAGTAACCTACCTAATACTTACAAAACCTGTCTATAACATATTTTTAATTTTACAGTTGAAGAATGACGTCGAAAATTAGATAAAGTTTAAAATGTGTGGCACAATCTTCACATGGGCAGGACTGAAGCAAGCTTTCCGTTTCATTTAAAATAACTGTAACACGATAACCTTCTTTACGTACTTATTGCTCCGGAGAACTCGACCTTTTACTGTACATAATTTTCCATCTCTTTTAATTTGGACATAGCCGATTGCATTATCGCCGTAAGATTTGTGGAAGCCGCTGAATAAAATACGAAGTTTAACAACTACGATTTTTACATACCGTAGTAATTTAGTCCCTTTAATTTCTATACTTAAAAACTCTGCACTTTGGACAAAAAAAGTTATAACCATGTCAACGCTAACTCTTGGTAAATTCCTGGAGTCTGCTTTGATAAACGCAACTTCCATTTTTATTAAATGTAAAAAAACGCAATAAATATTCCCATTAAATAATATTTACTTTAACAACCATAACCTCAAAGAAGTTGTCATAACAGGAGTGACGTCACTAAACGCTGATTGGTGTTTTAAAATACGTTCCGTTTCAAGTATTTTTAATTCGTAATAATTGTTAAAAAACAACATTATGTAAAATAAAAACGTTACAGTGGCATTTCTTTTATATTTTTTTAACATTTTAATCATAAAATTTTCATAAATATTATATATGCATCTTCCCTATTGTGACTAGAGATCTGATGATAGGATGCATATTTACCTAATGTTGAGTTGCCGCCTTTTCTGGAAAGCACTTATTTATCGGAAAAAAACTGGGAAATTCAAAGGACAATGTTAAAATTGGCCTAAGAACCAACACCAATTTGGCATCTATGATAATTCTTAGTATATTTTTTGCGATAATTATCAGTATTTAGATTGTGACGGACACTTCCAGTTAAGTAAGCTAAATTAAAAAGTTAATAAATAATCTGAGACAATAATGCCCATGCCCATTTCCCAATGCCGGCACTTCACTTGGCTGTTCGTATTTGCTATTTAAAAACATGACATCAGTCAGTCCTTTTCATTCCTTATTAAGCATGACAAAGACAAACTGTTGTCAAGTGAAGGGCCGGCATAAACTCGATACTCTGTGGTTGTGGTGCAGGCAGTTTGCATTCGCAGTAATCTGTGGCATTCGTGCATTCTCGTCAAAGGGTAATTTTTATATTAAATACGGAAAATTCTCGTTTCGGATTACCTGTTGTGTGTGTTTATTTGCGATTGTTTTTCCTTTAATGAACTATTACTATTTCGGCTATCTAATATGCCATCGATGTTACCAAAGAGCAGAAACCCTATTTCCAAGTGCTAGTGAACCTGTGCCACAACATCCTGAGAGGATCATACTGCCAAATTATTCAAGAGCACCTGATACACATTTACGCTGCATATTAACACAATATCCATGTGTTAAACAAATAAATAAAGTATACAATATGATTTAATTATGTGAAAAATAGTCAATAAATAATAAGCAGCAAAACTACAGTTTTTATTTTATTCATGTTCCTACCTAACCAAGTTTTTCCTAATAGTTATTCTTTAAAATCACACCTAATAAAATGAATTAGTTGTAATATTAATTCACTTCATACTAAGTTCATAGGTTGACCTATGTTTCATTGAATATTAAACATAACCTCAAAAAATTGTTAGCTTTCCTAATAATTTAAGTTCTCAGAAGTGTCCGTCAATAATCTTTGTTTTCATAGTCATTTACTTGCGATTTCGAACCTAGAAAAGAATATTTCATGATTGTTGGTTCTTAGGCTAACTATGTATGGACGCAGAACAATGTCCTTTAAGAGTATGCGCCGTGAGATCTAATAAACTCAGTTTGACACAAATAAAAGTGTGTCTATAACAGCAAAATATTGTTTAAGATGTCCATAAGGAATAAATAAATTTATATTTATAATTTTTATTATTTTTAAAGCATGTAACTGCTTGATGTTTAAATCTAAAGAAAATATAACTAGAAAAAATTCCACGCGGACCACGCAGCAGACGGGACTCGAACCCGCACCCTTCGCAATCCGGGCGAATGCACTGACCAATTATGCTACCGCGGCCCTCACGGACCGCGTCGAAATTCTTTCTAGCTATTCTTAAGCTGCAAGGCAGCGCCATCTCTTCGCATATAAATTTATATTTATCTATGTTTTCTTAGTCACACCCCCATTTCTCTTACACCTTACACTCATATACACTCATACTCGAATGGCAAATTAAATTTTAACTTTAAGTAAATATACATCCCATTAGTTATGCGATCCCGGAATACCAGGATGCAATTTTTATAAAAATATCCTAAGCATAATTTGTTAGCCAAAAAATAACTTTAGGTAAATAGCATCCGATTATGCTATCTCTAATGATGTCAGTAATAAAAAGAATAAGGCAAAATTACATTTTAAAATATTTATTATCATCTCATTACGCAACATGCATCATTACAATACTCCTGGTATCATAAATAAAATTCACAATAAATACACTTATCTAGCACTAATCATCAAGGATTTCGAGAAAACATCTTTACTTAAAACATTTTATGTTATATTATAAATTATAATCTTTATAAATACATTACCTTATAATATAAAACAGGTAACAATTGTTAGATCTCGTTTGATATCACTTGTTCTTGTGCTAATACTTAAATGAAGATATCTTGTTTTCGCCAGACTAGCTTACTCCACATGGCTGTAAAAAAATAAAAAATAAACGTGAGTTGTCTTTACCGATGCTTTATGGCCACTAGGGTGTTCGTGGACGTTCAAAGAAAGTTTTCTTTGTGGGTGTCCACGAACACCCTAGTGGTCTGTAGCACAAAATAGATAGCACAGAAGGTAATCTCATGTATGTACTTCACTTTGCATACCTACGCTCGCTAGAATTGACAACTTTGGTTTGTGAGCAAAAAATCGTGGTAGTTGCACTCGTACGTATTTAGTTATTCGATTTAGTGTTCAGAATGAAACAGGAAAAATGGAAATATAAACCAATAGAATGTTATTGTTATAATAGGTACAAATTAAAAAAAGAAGACAGTTTAGCGTTTAATGTTGAATTCAAACAACCGTCCACTGAAGATATAATAACTAATTGTTTACCTTATTCCATATTTGCACAAAAAAGTTCACAGACGGGTGTCTCGCTCGAGCGCGTAACTTTCGCGCTTTGTACGTAGATTACCTTCTTTACTATCTATTTTGTGTCTGTAGCATGTGTATCAGGGGTCTTGACTCAATTAATGTTCTATTTGGTATTAGTGAGTGTATTTAAACTTCAAATAAATGGCCATGATCCATCACACAGGCCCAAAGCGGACGACTGCAGATGCAGCCGGGACCAACGGCTTCTTAGCAATGGGCGTTTGCGCAACTTGAAATCCTTTTGACACTTTTATACATGCGGGACCAACGGCTTAACGTGTCTTCCGAAAGAAGGAGGAGCGAGAGATACTCGCAATGTCAGGTCTCGAGGCGTCAGGTGGCAGCACAGAGACGAAAGGTCCACACGTCTGTCAAACCACGATGTTGCCAGTTTTTGGATCAATTTAAATGCTTGTTCGAAAAAAAACTTCATACAAAAGACCGTATGTCACAGTGGCGCTGTGACATAATTTTTCCTAAACATCCTCACATTGACCAGGAAACAGTCAGTCCATTCTTTGTCTATATGAGTGTAAAATTAAGACAAAACCCCTAGGATATTGGAGCCTTGTTCCAAAGTAAGCACCATAAGGCTTGTGTTATGCTATGAAATGCTAACAAATATAAAAGTATACATAGACAATAATAATAATACTTTAGATTAAGTACATATGACTACTGGTATGGTTAATTGCACTGTACTGAACTAAATTCATATTTAGCCGGATTAGATTTGTTTTTTTAAAATAAAAGTAGCCTAAGTTACTCCTTATTACATCAGCTACCTGCCAATAAAAGTCCCGTCAAAATCGGTCCAGCCATTTCAGAGATTAGCCGGAACAAACAGACAAAAATTGAAACAGTGCTATTTTGGTGTATGTACCGTATATACTCGTATATTCATATACATGTAATAAAAAGCGGTTATTTCAATATCACAAACAGACACTCCAATTTTATTTATATGTATAGATAAATTGTGAACAATTATTATAAGATTATACTGACATGATGCGCATGGTGTTGGTGAAGCCGGAGCCCTGCTTCCATCCAGTGACCACTACGACGGAGTCGCCGGTGTTGATGAAGCCGCGGGTACGACCGAATTTCAGTCCGTATTGGACGCGGTTGTCCACGTCCTTCAGCCAATCTTCGGCGGCGCCATCTGAATATTTATTTATTTAAAGGTACATCAACAGCATAACATACAATAGATTCATAACACAGGCCCACCCAAAAAAACGAGCGAGCCTTACAGTAGTCGCGTATGATATGTAACATTTGAAACCTCACCTTATATTAGTAAAAAAAGAAATAAAACCTACTACAAAAGGAATAAGCCATTTGAACATTATGTTCTAAAATCAAATCAAATAGCGCGCGCTTTCGCGAATTCCTGTTACACACTTTCGTCCCATTTCACGAAAACACTCCCACAAATTGCAGGAAAGCGGGAGGAAAGATGTTACACATCAAAAAATGTACCCTCCGCGAAAGACCGGTCTACCTGAACTTTATGTTTTCGGGGTCGCCGAATCCAAATATGTTGCCATAATAGCGAAGTCGGTTCACGTTTTTTTTTAAACAATGCTAATTACTGGGATTCGAACTCAGAACCTCTGAATAGGCGACACCACATATTACTATATACTAGTCATGAGACAACTTGTAAATCGGTAGTTATATACATAGATTTATACATCACTTCTGCACTTAAGTGTGCAAATAAATGAATTATAAGTACTTATAATTATACACACACACATATATAGATGTATCGGCGTGTGAAGCTCGTGACGCATTTCCGTTTCATCTTTTCCATAAGGTTTTTTCATTTACACCCCGTTCGATAAGAAGTTTCACTTCAAAAAATTCAAAAAATTTCATGTTGCTTAGACTGGTTGTCTCTTAAATAATTTAAAAAAAAATAGTCTGTCAAAGATTTTTTAGGAAACCCATTTTTACTATATTTTCTAATATACTAAATTCATGATAAAATATGTTTCATTCTATTATCAGCTCGGTGAAGGTCGATGTAGGTTCGGATCTTCTACTATTGATGAATATATAAAATCATCGAAAGGTATGCTCACCTTGGTACACGATAGGTAGTACGCCGCGATACAGATGCGCCTGCCTCGCAGTCTGCGGGTGCCTCGTGACTGCAATAATGGGGCACCGTGGGCGATACTTGCTGAGCAAGTGGGCACTTCTACCACTCGTGGTGATCACAACTATGGCCGACGCCAGGCAGATAGTGGAGGCTTCGACAGCCGCTATGGCAACCGCATGGGCTTGTTCGATGGGAGCCTTCACCTAAATCAAAATCATTTATTCAGTTCCGACTTTCACTTTTTATAGACTGACATAGTGAGGAAAAGACGATATCACGTCCTTACGACAACCCTACAAGGTAGAAAGAGACGCGACATGATGTACCTTTGTCGAAATAAATTAAATAATAATAAAAAAATTACTTATTAAAAACAAAATGAATTTGTTAGTGATTCTTGTTTGCTTACTGTCATCAATGCAGGTCGCGATTTAGTTTTCATACAAAAAATGAGAATTTGGGCTCTAGGGGGCGTTCTGTGCGTATTTATGACTAGATTGTTCAGAAACAACAAGTTTGTTTCTAGGGCCATGTACATTCAAGCGAGAGTCTACCTTATTGTTTTGCAATCATCATCATCATCGTCTCTTTAATGTCCCCACTGCTGAGGACAGGCCTTCCCTATGGATGGAATAAAGAGATAGTAATCACCACTATGGCCACCGCGTGGGCTTGCTCGATGGGAGCTTTCACCTACATCAAAATTGTTTAGTCAGTTCAGGCTTTCACAAGCACATGTGAAAATCGAAAGCTAAGCCATCTTGATCAAATCTTGGTCACTTACTCTCATCAACGCAGGTCGCCATTTTGGCAATTTAGTTTTCAAACAAAAATTGAGAAATGTGGGCTCTAGCGGGCGTTCTGTGCGCACTTATGATCAGATTGTTCAGAAATAATAAGTTGTTTTCTAAGGACATATACATTCAAGCGAAAGTCTACCTTATTGTTTTGCAATCAGCATCAGCTCATTAAAGTCCCCACTGCTGGGGACAGGCCTTCCCTATGGATGGAATAAAAATATTGGGTTGTGACCCACCACGCGGGCTCAGTGCGAATTGGTTGGTGTTAACGACTGCAGATGCAGCTGGGACCAACAACGGCTTAACGTGCCTTCCAAAGCAGGTAATAATAAGTTTTTATCACCCTTCCAATGACTGACCATTGAGAAAGCTTAACTTCCGCGCTCGCAGGCCGAACCCGTCAACGATCTGCGCCATCGAGCTTTTCTACAATGGTTGTAAACATATAAGCTTGTGATCGGTCAGGAATTAAATAGGCTGTTATTACTTTAGATCGGAACAGAAGAATCGACTTATGGGTCATCCATAAAGTACGTCACACGTTAAGGGGGAGGGAGAGGTCCCTGAAATTTTACTTTGTGTGACAAGGGGTTGGAGGGTCCTGACGACTCATAATCGAAGAGCTGGCGAACAAAACGGTATAATTACATAAAATTAAATTTTACTGGAGCTGTATAAAACTGAATGACATACATAGAGTGAGTAAATTTAGTAATTTTAACACTGTTTTAGGTGATTTTGATTGAAAATTATTTGAGATACAAATTCAACGGGCTCGAAACCTCCGGGACTGTAAAAAAAAAGTAGTTTCACCAAATGCGTAATTATACCGTTTTGTTCGTCAGCTCCTCAATAGGCTAGTTGACTCATGTCGAATTGTATTAAATAAATGTTTATTTCATAAAGTATTTGGTCTAAGGAACCTAAATATATCAATTTCACTTCATAAAAGCAGAAGATTGCTGTAGAAATTTAATTTTAAAAAATATTTTTTAGTCTATATTTTTTAAACACTAAAAACGCTGTTCGCCACATCCGCCATGATTGTGACGTCTCATATGGTAAACAACTAAATGTCATTCGCGTGTTACTGTGGGTGGATTCTTTCGTCTGACTAAATTTATCATAAAAACACTTTTAACTTTAGAAAATTTTCCGTTTACTGTTTTTTTTTGAAAAAACTAATTATGGATGCCGGCTTTGTGAAAACAGAAAGCACAAATCTGCCAAGAATTGACGCATTCATGGTTGGTGAATTTATTTCACTAAACCACGATTTCTGCTCTGCGGAGCAGAGAAACGACAAGGCATCTATGTAAGTACAGTGTATTTACAATTACAATGGTGTCAATTCTGACACGATTCTCTAAACCTAAACTTAAATTTGACAACAGTGTATCCTTGTCATTCTCTATACGGAATGAAAAGGAGAGATTGATGTTAAATTTAGTTTTAAGTTTAGAAAATCACGCCAGAATCGACACCATTGTAGTAATAAACATAAAACTGATACAACATATGAATAAGTGTAATAAAGTTGCGTAGGTTAATTTCTTTCGGCACTTTTAATTCACAACTTTCCTGGAATCTTCAAGGATGTGTTTTTATATTCTCGTACAATACAATAATGATAATTACTTTATTTTTCGGGGTATTTATTAGAAATCATCTTTTGTTTATTATAAAGTCAGTTATTTTCTTACGAGTTTTTGTTTATTTACCTTTCTCTATGTGTTTACTGCAGTTAACGTCATAGCATAGATAATCTATAGACTAAAATGGCCGATAGCGTTTTTGTATGTCCATGAAAAATCTATTTTAAAATTAAAGATTTGTAGCTTTTTAGGTCTCAAAAAATACAATACATTTTTTTTCGGTCTAATAGAACATTTATTAACCATTTAAAACCTTTTTCCAAAAAGGGTCAACTAGCCTATTGTGACAAACTGTGACAAGCACGGCGGAGGGGTAGAAAAATCAATAAATTAGTGTGACGTATTTTGCGCATGACCCCTTACTATCAAATGGGATGTTAATACTTTAACTTGGAATATATGCATCGACTCACTATCTAATGGACGGTTATTACTTTTAATTGGAATATACAGGGTTAATTTTAAAACACCAACAACCTCTTAGGGGGTGATTCTACCCATCAACAAAAACAAATGTTATTATGGGACCAACACTGAAATCGCTAAAAAAATCTGTTGTTTCATACAAAAGTGCATCAGCTAATCGACTGAAATGTATGAAACAGCTGATTATTTTTCGCGATTTCAGCCTTGGTCCCATAATAAAAGTTGTTCCCGTTGATGGGTAGAATTACCCCCTAAGAGTTTGTTGGTGTTTTAAAATTAACCCTGTATAGGACAAGACTTACTTCAGCGACGAGGTCGATGAACAGCTGCTTATGCCAGATAGCTGCCTCGGCTTCCTTGCAGATATTGGCCATAGTAAGCACGCATTCCAAAGGATAATCTCCCTTGGCCGTCTCCCCTGACAGCATAACGCAGTCAGCGCCATCTAGGATAGCGTTGGCGACATCCGAAGTTTCAGCGCGCGTCGGACGCGGTTTCTTCACCATAGATTCTAACATTTGGGTGGCGCAGATTACTGGTTTGCCTACCTGTTATGTACGGATATTATTATTGTACAGCTGTGAATGTATTGAATCACACTAATACTATAAAGGCGAAAGTTTTTGAGTGTGTATGTTTGTTACTTCTTCAAACAAAATATACACTAACAAAAATGATAGTGTATATAGTGTACTATAGTATAGTGTGACTTTTTTGAATGGTTTCGTGGTTCACCGGTTAAGAACCTTTGCTCTATACAGAATGAAAAGAAGAAATTGCTGTCACACTAGCAGAAGTAACGTGAGTTTGACCCACCGCTTATCATAAGGCGGAACGTATCCTAGTTTACCAGTTTAATTGTTTAAAAGCTTACTTCGTGTTAAATAATTTGATTCATTACCATTAAAAATCACGAGACAAATTTGTGTAACCATTATATCCCTTTTGCAAGTGAATTTAAAGTTTTTACCCTCAATCTAAACTAAAAAAAATTACTAGATAAAAATCCTCCTAAAAAATATACCTACTATGATGTTAAAACTTACCCTGTTGCATCGCGCAATCATTGTCTTCTGTGCGAGGAAGACCTTCTCTGGTGGGATCTCAATGCCGAGATCTCCGCGGGCAACCATAATACCATCAGATGCCTGCCGACAAATAATAAATAATGTTTTCCATACTGAACCCAATCCGCCTTATTACAAAACATAGACTAAAGTTAAGCCAGGGAGCCAATCGCCAAACCAGATTGTTATGGCTATCACTATCACTTACGTATTAAGTTTTTTATTTCTGCTGAAGTTTTTGAAATGCCTCACGCTCGTTTTTTTCTTTGGCTTTGGTAACAACAATATTAAAGAAGATGAGCGTAAGGTATTTGAAATCCTTTGGAGGTCAGAAATAACAAAATGAAATCGTAAGCGATAACGTAAGCCATAGCAATCCCGATAACCAATTGACCCCCTGGACAAAAAATTATGCTGGCACTTTTGTTTTTTAAAAAGAAGACAGAGACAGTGTTGCTAGGTCCAATTTTTAAAAATCGGGAGGCGTTATAGAAAAAAGCTGTAGATGCTGAGGCGTACTTTTTGAGATTTGCACCCCCTAGAATTTGTAAATCAAACAAGATATAGACCAGTAACGAATGTGTTTCAGTGGCTTCTGCCGCCCCTGTAAGGTCGTTTTTTTAGACAATAACATATTTATATTATTATAATTAAGGTTACCTACATTTTTATTGGCGGAAAAAGCAAATCAACATGCAATTTAAAAAGAAAATCGTAATGTAAGAATAAATCTTTAACTCTGAAATTTCAGCAAAACAGGAGATCTCCTGTAAATTCATGTGACCTATCAATAGTGGACAGCGACAACCTTGGGTTTAAACCAAGTTTAACTTTAGTCCGCGTTTTGGAATCACCACAAAAATATTCTATTCATCCCTCATTGTACCGTACCATATAGGGTGTATTCCGAAATATAAACCAGTACGCTGGCCAGCGGTAATGACGTCATGATTTCGACGCCAAATTGCACTGGTGCAGTAGTAGTGTTGTCAACTGTTGTTACTTTGGGGCTATGCTAACTAGTGTGAGTGTAGGAAATATTTATTATTATTATTAATATAAAGCATACTAACAGCAATAATCTCGTCCAAGTTCACCATGCCCTGCTGGTTTTCGATCTTGGAGATGATTTTGATATGCTTGCCCTTCTCGCCGAGGATGCTGCGGATCTCCTGCAGTGCTGAGCCGTTGCGGATGAAAGACGCGAAGATCATATCCACCTGCAGAAATTACCATACTTACATGAATAATTATTAACAAAAATTCACTCATTGACTTCAACACTAGTAATTGTTAAACATGTTATTACACATGTTATTAAATTCACGTTTTATGAATAAATAACACATTGTATTTGTAACGACTATGATCATGGATACGTAGATCTGGGTTACGTCTGCTTATTGTTGATGTGTGTTTTATATTGTTTTAATAATTTAACTGCTAGGTTGTAAAATCTAATGAAAATTTTACTAGAAAAAAAACTACACAGTCCAGCCAGCAGACGGGACTCGAACCCGTACCCTCCGTTATTTGCCCGCACTGTAGATTTTTTCTAGTAAAACTTTCATTAAATGTTGATGAGTTTCTTGCGCCCGTTTTTCCTATCAGCTGTAGTGCGATTTCATTGTAGTTTTGAAGTTAGCAGCGAGTGCAGCTATGCGAAGTTTCATTTCAGGGTCTCGCGTACTACTACATCACTACACTCTACGTTTAACCACAGCGCCGCGACTTGGGATAACTTCACAGCCGATCCCCTATAAAAGATGTGAATGACCCTGAATGAGTGATATATTGTTCGTTTCAAAAGAGCTATCAATAAGTAAATGTAAATAAAATAAGTATAATTTTATTTTATTTTAACATTTAAAGCATTCTTTCATGAGTTAGCCGTAGTAAAGATTTTATTTGTTATAAGCTGAATGACAATCCAATGTCGCAATACAACAACCCGGAAGTCCAAATAAAAATTATCAATTAAGTTTACCTACTTAAAATTAAATTTATTCTGATCCAATCAGGCTGCCATAACCGAAATCAACCGAAACCGCATCTGATTTGTAGGTATATTGCGTATGTAAATTGGTGATAATACGACAAAACTATTTGTTTCATAATAATTTATTAATAATAATCTTCTCTCTTTAATGATAACATTCATAAGTATATGAAAAACTCAGCATCGTTTTTTCTACTACTGCATAAACACATGTTTATATTTAGCAAACACGCAAGGTCATTGAATTTTGTTCACGTATCGGCCAAAACGGTTAAGATCCTCACGTCACGTCAACGTTGCCTGCTGACTTGTTGCGCGTGTTGAGCTGTATAGATTCTGCAAAACTGGACTCATCTCATCAACAGCCGCCACTTACATAATTTACTTAGATTAAAACAAAAAGGGAAGATGCGGCATTCGCGGCTCAAAAGTGATCCGCTTAAATTGTGGTCCACGACCATAATTCGCTTTAGTCACAATTTGACATTCAAACACGCTGCATGTAACTCAATATACCATATATATATTGCGTATATTCTGTGTTATGAAGATATAATAATGCCTTCGATGCTTTTATAAAGAACACAAATAGTTCAAAATCAAATGCCCCGGCAACACTTTTCATTCGTAAAACTGTGAAAACATTTTTTTCTCAAAAATCACGGTTTGTCGTGAATATTATTTACGTAATCGCCGTTTTGTAAGCAAGAAAAGGACAACAACACGCTGCGTCGAAGCGTATAGTTCTGTCTCGCTCGCTCGATTGATGTTTATATGTGCAACGTGCAGAAGTGTTCATGGCGAGAGTTGCTTATGTAGTTGAGTCTGATCATATTTTATTTGATGCTAGTATGAGCGTACCGTATCTACCCTTTTTGTTTTAATCTAAGTTAATTTATACCCAACCATCACAACCAACAACTTCTGAAGAAAATAACAAATAAAAAGGTAAATGAAAAGAAAACGTATTAACCTTTATACATCTTTACAGAAACCGATGGTGATCATAAGGATCAAGATACATTACGGAGTAGTACTAACGAATATGATAATATTGCCGGGCGCTCGCACAGTTAAATTAGTCTGGCTAAGGGTTGGAACCTTAGATTAAAACAAAAAGGGAAGATACGGCACTCGCGGCTCAAACGTGATCCGCTTAAATTGTTGTGCATGACCATAATTCGATTTAGTCACAATGGGACATTCAAACACGCTGAATGTGCACTCAATATCGGTATCAATATTGCTTATATTCTATGTTATAAAGATAAAACAACGCCTTCGATGCTTTTATAAAGAACACAAATACATAGTTAAAAATCATTTTTCAACAGTGGGTCCCGACTGTTAAAGTAGCTTTGTTCCTTATTAACAGAATTATAGACTACTGGACTTGTTTTTTTCTTTTCAGTTTTTATTTGAAGTATAATTAAGCAGTCGGGTTTTTTGATTTTTTAAATTTACCTTTTTTATTTCACACTTTTTAGTTAGTTAGTATTTTAAGACGGTATATACCGTAGTCTTGTTACTTCAGTAAGGGAATTAATATCGCGGGAATTATTAAGTACCTTAAGACAGTCTAAAAATGAATCTAATGATACCGCATACATATTTTTTTAAAGGGAAATTTAGAAAAAATATTATTATGTCTTTATCCCGTGGGACTTTTAGGATAAAATGTATCCTATGACACTCCCGTAATCAAGACAAATCTAACGATACCTCATACATCAAAATCCATCAAGCCGTTTAGGCTACAGGAGGTCACAAAGGAACAGACATACATACATACTTACATACACTCCCTAAACATTACCCTCCCTCTTTGGCAGTCGGGTAATAACAAATGCCTCGCCAGCACTTTTCAATCAAATTTTTAATTTTACAAATTATGCCTAGTATATTGTATAATATTACACACCTTTGTTACCTGGTACCGCCCAAAACCACCATAATCTAAATTTCATAGTGAGCCACCATTCTTACCTGTGCTCGAGGCACGAGTTGAAAAACTTTATCTTATATAAAATAACGAAGGTATGGCGGCCACGGGCTTTTAGGCTATGTGTGCGAGAGCCCCGTCAAAAACCTAACTTAAGGGTGCTTGCTAAGAAGACGATTTCTACCCGGTTTTACCCGGGCCGGTGCCGGTTAAGCTAGTTCACAAATACGGCTTGTACCAACCCCAAATCTTACCTAGCGCCGGTGTCGTTAACAAATCTCTATACTGTCCCATACCTAACTGTACGGACGCAGATACGGTTGAAAACCGTACCTAGGACACGGGAAAAAATCGTCTTGTTAGCAAACGCCCTAACTGTTATCATAATAAAGATGGATAGACAGAATGATAAGGATACGCTTGGCATCCATGTGGGTTTATTGTATTGTTACTTTGTACAAACAAAGATTAAATATTACTTTATCTATTCTTGAGGAATATTTTTTATTGATACCTAGATAGGTATATTATGAGTGATGATAATCATGCAAAAGTCTCGTGATATTATCTATAGATAATGCAATTTGTTCCGTTACTGTAATGAATTAAAATTGAGAAGTTATTATTGGTAGCTCCCATTTATACAGCTTATCACATCTGACCGCGACCGCAGATCGTCCGTTTAGGTGAGGCTTAATTCTTTGGATTTATTTCACAGGAAACTTCCATACCGAGCATGATGCTCTGTAACATCTTAAAGAGAAAAAGGCGACGCTTTCGCCTCGCAAGTTCTTGGTATTCTATTCTTAAAATAAATGAGTGAGCACGGAAAACACATATGAAGTGAAATTTCTTTTCTTAAATAACCTAACATAAGGTGGTGAATAAGGCATAGGGGAATGGAGCAGCGCACGCATCACTCGTATATATGTATTGTGTATATTGTCGGGTATGACGCTCGTAGCGTTTGAGCCTTCGCCGATTTACCCTCTTAATTTCATGCTCGTCGGGAAGAGCTGCGCACGCACATATATATATATATATATATATATATATAGTCGTGTGACGCTCGTACCGCATTTTCATTTCATGTTTTCCATAAGATTTTTCCATTTACACCCCGTCCGAAAAGAAGTTTCACTTCAGAAACAATCTGTAGTATTGGTGATTTAAATGAAATACTTACATCTTGTTCGACACCGAAGATGAGATCAGACTTGTCCTTCTCGGAGACAGCCGGGAGGTCTACCGGCAGACCGGGCAGGTTGACGCCCTTCCTTGAACCCAGCATACCTGCGAGAAAAAGCAAAATGTTACCCAAAAGTTCCATGAAATGAAGAGACATCTATACTTACTAATATTATACATAAAAGAGTTTGTTTGTTTGGTTGAAAGCGCTAATCTCAGAAACTACCGATCCGATTTAAAAAAATTTTTTTGTGTTGAATAGTGCACTTATCAAGCACTTGTAAAAGTCGAAAACTACGCCATCTGTTCTCAAAACTACGGCGGGAGACCTTGTACTGAGAAGAACCAGCAAGAAACTCAGCAAGGGCTGCTTTTCTCTCCCTGTTTTATTTCGTACAGTGTCGTCAAATTGAAAGTTGATATTAAACTTGCAAACATGTGTTGAGGTCAACTTCCATCACAATGTCAAATTGGTAACAAAAGACAATATACCTACTATACCTAGGAATACCTACCACCAGAATGTCGAGTATCAATGAAATATGTTGCAAAAACGGATGATAAATATTCCATTTGAAAGCTTCCGTTGCGTGCGCTGCGTAAACGGTTAAAGTTACACAAAAATCATGTATGAAGAAATTGTTCCCCTTTGAAAGTTGTATAAAATAGACTACGACAGCATAAGTCCATCTTTTAAGTTTTTTTTTTTTTTGCAACACACCAATTAGCCTAGCCCCAAAGTAAGCACTGTAAAGGCTTGTGTTATGGGATACTAGGGTAACGGATAGAATACATATATAAGTATATTTATATGAAATACATATTAAACATCCATGACTGGAGTACAAATGCTCGTATTCATCACATAAACATCTGCCCCCACCGGGATTCGAACCCGGGACCTCTCGAGTCGGCGACGCCATGAAACCCGGCGTATAATCCATTCGGCCACGGAGGTCGTCAACAGTTTAACTCACTATAACTATTTTTCCTAAAATTAACGCAGGTGAAACCGCTAGTTTTATTATATTTTTAAGCATTAAACTGATGGTTGATTGATGATTTACTTGGTCCAAGAAGATATAAATTTTATAATTTTAGTGTAAGTATCAGAAAGGTCGCGTGACATTCACGGGTGACTTTATCGCTTGTTTAAACGCAGATAGATATGCGATCATAATATAATACACGCTGTTACGTATGTAACAGCTTTATCTGATAAATTGCGTAATGTATATGTGCATCGTGATCAGTAGTATGTAGTACTAGCGGCTGCCCGCGACTTCGTACGCGTGGAGTTAGTTAGAAATAAAGGTTCACTACTCGTTCCCCGTAGGTGATAGCGTGATATGTAACCGATATATTGACCCGACTCCTTAATAATAGTCGTGGCAAATTTGAAGTGGATCCATGCAGTACTTTTTAGTTTATCCCGGACATACATACAGACAAAAATTCTAAAAACTATATTTTTGACTTCACACCCCAAGTATTCTTTAAAAAAAAATATTTAATGTACAGAAATCAGAAATGTATAGCACAACTCTTGTTATTGGACATTTTTTTTAGCTGCAGAGAAAAACGAGCGAAAAAACTCCACAACATTTACAAATCACTATGTTGTTACAGCGTCAATAAAATCATGATTTATTATATACAAAAAACCTGTTAGAATGATTGGAACAGTTCAAATCGAAGCATTTTTGTCTGTAATATAATCAGACACTTTGTAATAAGCTTTTTTAATAAGTGCTTTTTTTATACTATCTTCGAATTTATTTATGGTTAACTCTTGGATATTGCTTGGGACTTTATTGTATAAGCGGACCAACGATATTATATAGCCTAGATACACCACGAGCGCTCAAAATGTGTCCCAATCAAGAAGTGCTTGAACTCCACACAAGCACTTCTTGGTTCACAGTCACGCGCGGACAGTTGAAAAGTAAAGATGCCGCAGAGCTCCGAGAAAAAATGCAAAAAAATAGTAATAGTACGTAAAGTGTAGTTTTTTCGACAGATATCTAATCAATGTTTGTTAATTTAAACTGAATTAGTATAAAATATTTGTGATATTCAAATGCACGGTCGGTTATACGTCGCCGTATAGCAGTCTCTTTTCCTCGCGGTCCGTACCTGCTATATTGCTAACAGAGCATTCAGAATTGCGCGTTAATTCAAAAATCATAAGGTCTATATTCTTCCACATATAGCAATAAGTCGTAAAATTTTACGAGCTTGCATTTCGAACTGTCATAAGTCTTTGACGCGTGCGTTTTATTTAAGACCTTATAGAGTATGCATTAAAGGTGACTTTCAATGTTTAAATAATGCCTAATATTGTTTTTGAACACGCGATGTACCTTTTGGACACGTTTCGGCCACCATTTTGTTCGTGTTGTTGTATCTAGGGTATTTAATTGACATTTAATTTAAATTTAATTGACTGAAAAAGAACTTTAAATGAATTACTGATTTTGTGAAGCCTAGTAGCAGGTAAGTAAAGTAAGTTTATTTCTGTTTCTTGTTAAGTGTGTGAACATCACTGTTTTTATGAAACAAATTAATATTTTACTTACTTACAGTTTTGACTTTCCTACCATTTTATTATGGCATAGTCGTAGCGTTATACAGGAAGAACATCTATATATATTATGTATAGATGTTCTTCCTGTATAACGCTACGACTATGCCATTTGGTAGATTCATGATTTACCACGCGCCACCACGAGGCGGTTTTAGTCTCAACTCAGATAATCAAAGGGGATACGCCATGCCACTACACAGTGTTGACACATTTTCGTAATAAAGTCGCAGGAAAAATAAATCTACAAGCTGATCAGCTATTTGAAAGTATGAAAAATAAACTACCAACCAATTGATGATCTGTATTTAATATGATTATTAGCAGTATTTTACTATGCTCAGAAAACAAATTACTTTCTAAAAAATCATTTAATAGAATAAAACAAACTGCTATTCTATAGCCGGGTCTCCAGCGGGTGTTTTGCCCTACACAATCAACAAAAACATATCAACATTCAACAAAATCGTCTACACATAACTTTGTTTCACTACACATATTTGTTTGCATCAACAATGTTTTTGCTTTCCGAGCTCGATGGAAAACACGTACACAAATCGGTCGAGCGGCGGGTCGAGGGGCAGGGTATTCTTTCATCGGCCATATTTTAGATAACTCGCTAGTGGGAGCTCCGTTCCAAAAACTACGCTCAGAGTACAACTTTTAATTCTGACGTTTCAAATTTGACATAAAATGAACGAAACTTTGGTCAAATTTGACATTTCTTGCATATGGATCGTAGTTTTTTAACGTGTATTTTTGTACGATTGCCACGTGAGCAGTAGAAGGCGTAAGTTGAAAAACATGTTTCAGAAACAAAGTTTTGTGTATGTGTTTTTGTTGAATGTTTTCATAAAACTTTTGTTGCAGACCCGGCTTATAATAAATGTTCATTCTCGATTTGTTGTGTTTTATTGATCCTTTTTATCTATTACTAAAGTCCAGTTGCAGCAATTTTGCTAAATCTCAATTTAACTTAAACTAGAATTAGCCCATACAATGAGATAGATCTAGTTTTAGTTGAATCGAGATTTAGCAAATTTGCTGTAAGTGGGCCTTGGTGTTATGGTAGATACTTATCTTAAAAAAAACAGCTTAATCTATATATAACAAACCTCCATTCTCGATGCTGCACACAAGCGCGTCTGCAGTGACCGACTGACAGATGACAGAAATCAAGCCATCATCGATGAAGATCCTGTTTCCGGGCTTCACCACTTTAGTAATGTTCTTGTAGTCCACGAATACGGTGGAAGCGGTGCCCTTCTCTTGGAATGCGGGGTCAGTAGACAAGTTGATAGTCTCGCCCTTCTTCAGTTCAACTTCTGCTGAACCACCCTGTGTGAAAAAAAAAACTCGTAAACAAATTAAAGCTACGTGAAAAGTAGACGTAATAAGAGCCTCAGTCTAAAAAAGCAGCTTAATGACTCTAAAGTCGCAATCGTGACATTTGCTTTTGCAGTCTTACTTCTTTTTATACATTTATGCCAGCAGTATATGGTCATAGTGTCCAATGACTAAATGAAATGTATGACAAAAACCCACTAAAAACCCAACAGTGCTCCTTCGGCTGCCGGAACGGGTTTCGTGGGATCCTGGTGACTCTCCACGTTATACTAGTGATGTGACCTAGTCTACAGAAGAAATAAAATCATTGATAAAATGATTTTAAATTCTCCTTTCAATGTTTAACTTCACACTAAATATGACAATTTAGTTTCAAAATCCGGCTCGAAGGACCAAAATTTATTGACATGAAAATTTTCAAAAATCAACGGCTAGACTCGACCTTGGTAGATAAAATAGCAACATAGTCACGACTTTTTCAGAGGAAATCAAATCTCTAAAAGCTAGAAACGTTCTTAGCTTCTATGCAGCTGTCAGACTAAAAGAGATCCTTTAACTTGGTTTGAATCATAATAGATCGTTTAAATTGCAGTGAACACAGTTCCATTAGGGCTGCATAGCCCCAAAGATCTGTAATACTAGAAAAATTATAATACTCACGCCTTCCAACAGTCCGGTTCTGATCTCAGGGCCCTTGGTGTCCAAAGCGATGGCGAGCGAGAAGGGCATGCCCAGTTTGGCGCTGTAATTTTTCTCAGCTTGCCGGCAGTTGGCGATCGTCTCCGCGTGGTACTCGTGCGAGCCATGAGAGAAGTTCATGCGGGCCACGTTCATGCCTGTCTCCATCATCTTTTCGAGCATGGCTACATCGCGAGAAGCCGGCCCTGCGAGACATAACCACGATGGCTAAAAGTTCTATTTTAAAATTCTACAAGCTAAGATAATGATAGATATTTTTCTTTTCAAGTCCTGGCTATTCACCCTAAGTAAGTATTATGTGCGAGTCAATTACCGCACCAAAACCCTTATCTTACCAGCCTGCAAGTCCTTGCGCGATCCTCTTCAAAGCTAAAGACAGTGTCAATATGATAAAGGTTGTAATTTTCCTTTGAAATGAAGGGGTCTCGATGATATAAATATCAGACTATTAGAACCTTTTTTTTGTTTTAGAGTCTTTTGGACCAAAATGTCCATACCAGCCCCATCGTAACCTGACCATACAATTTTCTTAAAATTATTTAATTACTAACTATTACATAAAATTTTTGCTGCCATATTTCAAAGCACACCAGCCTCCTCGGATAGGGGGTTGGCTAGGATGCCCTGCAATATGCCGTTTCAAACCTATTAATTTTAAGGATGGAGAATGCATGTCTCCTTTCCGCTCATTTATGACGCATTCCATTAAAATGTGATGCACATCCTCCACTTTCTCACATACTTCACAATTAGGGGAATTGTTTTTTTTTTTCAAAGAAACAAGAATTTATTTAGTGGAATATACCAGAACGAAGTCGGTGCATAATCATAATTAGTATCAGTATACATGGGCAAGATATATATTTATGATCCCGCAGAAATAGCCTTTTTTGCAAAGTGGTCAGCTTTCTGACTATTAGAACCTAGAACCCTATTCTCCGAACCGGTATAGTTCCGACCACCTTACTCATTCTACTAACACCACAGAAAAGTGTTATTCAGCTGCACTGTTGTGCTTTTTTCACTTAGCCGTAAGTCAATCAGTCAGTACCGCAAGTTCAACTGAACAGCTATCTGAGATTCCTTTGTTTTCTATGATATGTCAACGTAGATTTAGTTGATGCATTGATGTGGCGGCAGTGATGTCTAATACTACCAATTTAAACATATAGGCTTCATGCACGTAGACGTAGAATTTCTGGCATCTAAACCTAGGTATAACAAGAGTGGCGTTCCAATCGATTGTCCTACCATTTATATTGTAAGGCTTCCTTGAGGCTCAACTTTAGTATGAAGAACAGTTCTAGTATTAAGGGATTAATTAATTAAAATATTAAGTAGAACATAACGATTTATGATAAACTTATTATAGCAACTTACCGATGGTACAGATGACACCGGAAAGTCGAACGTACGACGCCTTAGAGGAGGTGTCTAAGGCGCACATGTGCTGCAGGTGGGAGCCCACATTTGCAGTAGCCAACTGCATCGAGGGCTTATCTCCGGACTGTTAAATAAAAATGGATTGTTTTACGTCTACAATACAGAAATTTGTCCTTAAATATAGGTAGAACGATTAAAATTATCGCGTTACTTTGGATTTGTAAAGTTCCTTTTGATAGTCTAACTAGACTAGATACCAGCCGTAAATAGTGGCCGCAGTAAGCCAGTGAAAACGCAGTTCATAGCCGTATTATGAAGTGAGACGATTCCTATTGATAGAGAGAGACTAGACGAGATTCGGCATAGTTTGATTAGCCTGCATTAATTAGACAGGACCCTACCTCAAATTGCTCGGAAAATGTGGGAATTATCCTTCGCTGCACGTGCACATTGGCGTAGTCCAGGTAAACTAATATTTATATATAATAATTTTATTTATTTTGTCAACATAAAGCCCTGTAGTATTCATTATCATCAGCCTATTAATGTCCCTACTGCAGAAGCTTAGGCCTTCCCTATGGATGGAATAGGGAGACGGCCGTGACCCACCATGCGGGCCCAGTACGGATTAGTGGGTGGGTGGATCCATCGGCTTAACGTGCCTTCCGAATCCGGAGGAGCTCGAGATAACAAGTTTTTGGTTACACATCCAATGACAGACCATTGCAAAAGTTGCTTAACCTTCACGATCGCAGGCCGAATGGGCTTAACATCACCTGCACTTTAATCAATCCTCGAATTTTAGCTGGCAGGAACGTTTCTAGAAACATTGCCTACCCTTGTCCCCCATAGCTACGCCGGAGTAAGTGGATATCAGTTGAGTGGATTCTAAGTTCAAATTCGCCTAATAGGTCTCCCATGACCAGGGGCTTGTCCGCTTTGTCTTATTTTTCAGATTTAACAAGTTTTATCTAACCAATACATCTAAAGAAAATATAACTAGAAAAAATTACACGCGGACCAGGCAGCAGAGGGGATTCTAGTTATACTTTCTTTAGATTTAAACATCAAGCAGTTACATGCTTAAAAAAAATTAAATTATAACCAATACATGTTCTTTTTATGCAAATATATTAATGTGACAGTCACAAGGAATTATTCAAGCATAAGAACGACCGGAATGAGCAATATGGACTAATGGGCTTGGCATTGAGGTGTAGTTAGTACATTGTGTTGAACATACAACGGAAAACTAGATATATTATATGAGTTATATAGATGTAGAATATGTTCTATAATATAAGTGTTCTGGTACTTTACCAAAAACTTGGTGAAATTAAATGTAATATAGGATCCAAAACATCTAATCAATATAAAACTCAATTTAATATGCAGCATTCATATTACTTCATAAAATGTGAATCTCTTGGATCTTTTACCACTTCGGTTGGGACCTTACTAGGAAAATCTGCAACTGAGTAATCAATGCATACCTGGCCTGCATTATCTCTTTCATATCTCTTAAAATAACCAAACAGGAATTGAGTATGGTTTGGAGGACCATATCACCAAAATACTGATAGAAACAAAAAAACAAGTAAGTAATCAAGTAGGAAAGAACATAAATCCATATGCATTCCGTGTTTGTCCCCATGGTCTTTTTGGTACCAATTTTGTTTATATTTCCCATAGAACAAAAGCAGTTTAGCTAACCTACCACCCACAAAAGAAGAACAGGGTCTCAGTACAGGACATAAAATAATGAAATGTATAAAATTCAATAATAAAATTAGTCACATCATAATATTTGTAATGATAAGACATTAAATGCAGTGTTAGTAGGATAAGATATAGAAAAATAATTAATGTATATTATGTTGTGCAAATATGGTAACGGAAGATAAGCCAAAGAATGAATTTCAAATAATATTTACCAAGGGAAAAAATACTGTTAACAAGAACAAAATAAAAAAAAATAACATTAGACTACCCACAAAAATAGTTATAACAACATAGACAGTTAAAACATATATTACATTTCATTAAAAGTCAACTTATATCCATGACTTCATCTGCATAGAATAATTTAGGTTTCCCAAATAAGCTTTTAACTGTTTCATTCAAGTTTCATTTTAGCCTATGTCTCTACCTAATCTCATCAAAATTTGTTCAGTAGCTGTGACATTAAACAGGCAGTTTCATTTAATTGGATTTATAGTAATGAGAGTTAGTTAAAAACAATGAGTAGCATTTTGAATTTGGTAAATTTTGATATTAAATGCTTTCAATAATGGATAATCACAAGTTTCTATAAAATAGGGTATTTGACAATATGAAAATCAAAGTACAAATTGTTGGCATCTGCATTTAATATGAATATAAGCAGCAATTTTACTATTCGGGGAGAACAAATAATTAATGATTTTGCAAAATAATCATTGAAAAGAAATGATTATTTTGTTCTATGGTTATGTGACCAAAAACACCTGCGATTATTGAAAGCTAAAGTGACATCACACACTAGTAAAGTTCCAGTCAAAGTGGCATTACATTGTATTGTTTGACATTTAAATGACAGTTGTGTGACGGCACATAGCAGTGTTTGTGGCAACTTTAAAATGGTATTATTGATTGTTTTTTTTGACGTGACAACGTCTTAAATTAGGTTGCGGCTGGGAGTCACTTATGAAAAAGTGTAACGCTCGGTAACGTTACGATGAGTCTCTCGTGTTAAGTTTAAGTTTACATGTACAATGTTTTAGTAAACAAAATATATTTCTATAGTTAAAATTTGTGCAATTCTTATTTTCATTCAATTCCTTGTTCCTATTGTGCAATTTAATTATATTCATATCAATAAATATTCTACCGAGAAAAAGACGTTGTCACGTAAAATCTTCGCCCGTAAAACCGACTTTACAGGCAACCATTTTTTTACTTAAATACACAACAGAATAAGAAATATTATTAAATAATGTTAGATCGTTTTCTAAAACTTGTCATTGTATTTGCTTATGTTGATCTGAATAATAATCAATGTGCAAGGAGGAAATCAATTTAATTCTTAATTAAACTATTTATTAATCTACAGATAATTATAAGAATGCTACTAATTTGGTATTTTTATTAATAATATGTAAAGGTAATCCGTGGTATTTGATAAACAGTAACTTTCTAGTTGTTACTACATTTTACAAAACAAATATAAACATACACTACCCAAAAAGGTAAGATTTTCAAAAATATCAAAATGAAAACTACATAGGTATTAATTAATACATTTGATCAAAGTAAATAGGTAATTTTGTTTTATTTTCCTACTTGGGAACAAGTTACTAAGGATTTTATATTTGAAATTAGAAAAGACCATTTAATACAATTTGGGGATTAGAACTACAATTAGCGTTTGCAAACAATATCAGTAAATTGTGTAGCTACACTACCACACTATTACATGAACCGGCGCGCCGTGAAAAATCGTCAAGGTAAAATAGCAAAAATAATCGAAACAGTTCACGAAACAGATCATTTACTAAAATAAATATTGCCTACCTCAGATTTGCCATCGTAAATAGTCGACCAAACCATGTTAACAGTTCTGTGATGTAAGAATCTTATAGAAAACTCGGCGGGAGGTAAAACCGGCAGCAGTTGTGATCTTGAACTGCCCTTTAGCCGTGGAAAACTGTTCCCCGCAACGAAGTCTATTTGACTTGCGTATTGGACGGGGAGACGGAGCCGCGAGCGGCGCGCGCACCACAACGTTGCGGCGCCGGCAGGGTGAGTTTGACCACAGAAAGTTAATATTTAACTATTTCACTTCATACAACGGAAAAAATAATAATTTGAACCCATAGGCCCTGCATTAATGCACTCAGTGCACTGATTTATGCAACTCTAGACGTACCTACGTAATCGTTCTATACATCTAGTTCATTGTTCTAAATTTAAACTTGAAAGCTAGCCAAAATTTCCTGTATGGCTTTCTCTACTCTTTTTTTTAACCAAAAAAAACGCAATGTTTTACTAAAAGAAAAAACTGATTAACAGTGACTTTCAGTTGATGAAGTTTTCGCGGACTAAATTGACACATCGCCATATTAACAAGATAACATGGTTCGTTGGGCAGTAAATAAAGAGGATTGCTTTTGATTATATATGTTTTGTTTCCGTTGACCTTTTTGACCTATCGTTTCCGTATCCGGATGGAAGTTACAATGAAAAGTTTACAGGGGTATTCAACCTTTATTTAGGATAAAAGATAACACTATTTTATTTATGATAATCCTCATAAAACTTAAATCCATAACAAAAAAAACTATTAAATTTCACTTTCATAAATTTTATGTTGGTAACTTGCATTGCTTTTTGATTAAGTAAGAGTAATACGTAAGTACTTAGTTATAGATATAATAATAGAAAAACAAACAATGATGTCGATTCTGGCAAGGTTCTCTATAGCTAAACTTAAATTTGACAACAGTGTATCTTTGTCATTCTCTATTCAGAATGATAAGGACAGACTAATGTTAAATTTAGTTTTAAGTTTAAAGAATCCTGTCAGAATCGACATCATTATCTAGGTATATAAACCTTATAATGACCCGTGGTGGGTAAACCCCCTCCAAAGAGTTCCAATTGTTTATAATTAGTGCGATTTGGATCCATGATAGGCTGGCTATTTTTTTATTTCATCTTCTCAGCGTATCAAATGGAAAGGAGGCAAAATAAACTTATGAAATAGGTAGTAGTTTTCTTTTTAATTTAAATATCTTCTAGTAAAGTAGTAGAGTATAAGTTCGTAGTTGGTCCCATATGAATTTGACCCAAAAAATCCAAATAAAAACGGAGGATGATTGATTGTTCCTTCACAGATTCTGATGCCGAGTTGTATATTTCAAAAAATATAACCACAACAATTTTTTAAATAAAAACTTTCTAACAAAACAAACCGCCGAAAAGTAAAAAATAATAAACCTTTTTTATCTTAAGTCAAATTAATATTTTGAGTCGGCGCAGGTCTGATAGATCTGAGTTCCCATTTACTACTTGGGTTGGCTTAGCACTGGCACTGACTCCAAATAAGTATTAATTTGACTAGAGATTAATTATTTTTTACTTTTAGGCGGTTTAATTTTTTTGTTAATATAATGCACGTTACATGTAAGCGGTCATCCATAAACTATGTCACACGGTAAGGGGGGTGGAGGGGTCGGCGAAGAGTGACATTGTATGAAGTGGAAGGGGGTTCTAAATTTCGTGACGTCACATTTCAAAATTTAATACAATACTTTTGAACTATTATCAAAAAACTTTAAAATATTGAGATCTGTATGGGGTTTAATTTGTTTTGTTGGCTTATTTTCGGGTTAGGGAGGATAGGGTTTGGCTCATAAATGTGTGAGTGTGACAAGGACGGGGGAGAGTTAAAAAATCACGAAATTAGTATGACGTACATTATGGATGACCCCTAATATAATTGTACCTAACCATGTTATTACCTTATTGCTATATAGTTATATATGTTATAGTGCAGTTGTTTCCTCCTTTAAGCACCTACTGGAATACTTAGCTATAAGTATCATTTTTGTTTTTTCTTTTATTTTAGTGTGTTAAATTTTTGAGAGCTTATTAAAAAATTAATAGACACAAGTCTGACTAGTTATTATAACTAATTTAAGTACATATAAAAACTTGTTGCATGCTTTACTTACAATAGTTGTATCTGCTTAGTTATAAATTAAATAGTTAGTATTTTTCATGATGATTGCTTCTATGGAGATTTAGAACCTAGTAAATAAGTTTAATAATCTCATAAGAAACTAGACAATTAGACATTCCATACATTTATTATTGCCAAAAGTTCTTGCTGAAGGCTAAAATTAAGTTTTTTTTAGATAATATATAACATACATTTTTTGGATAATGTTGAGCACACATATACTTTCCAATTTCATAATACTGAAATAATGTTTATAAAAATGAAACTGAAATTTCTAAAAACTTTGTGTTTTTACAAACACAAAGGGTGAGCACCTTCATAGTATTTTTTTTTAATGCATATTAAGCAGAATTATGGGGCACACAGCAGTCTTTTAGGTTATGTTAATAAAACCATGATAATGTTTTACCGTTATATGAAACTTTTTGTTACTTTTTGAATAGTAGTTATATTATTCAACGCAAATTCTAGGTAAGAACTTGGAATCTTTCCTGTCGTAGGACAATTTACCGGCATTGACCTTGAATGTTCACAATTCTGCACCCATACTAAGAAAGAACGCTTCTTCTCTTTACCATTTTTTTACCAATTGTTTGATTCGTCATTATACATCGGCTAGTCTATATATATAATACTACGCCTAATATTTCAATTATCTTTAGATTGAATACGTATTGAAAACTTTCGAATGGATGAAACAAATTAGGTATGTATTTAAACAAGTACAATATTATTATTAACTTTAATAGCATTTTTTAAAAATGTCAATACTTACACGAGAAATTATTTCAAAAGACATAGTAAAGGAAAGGCACTTTTTAAAACTTCCTGGAAACTACAATGATTTGACAGCACACTGCACTTTAGAGGTCAACGCAATGTCACATTCAGGTAGCCATTTTTAAGCTAGCCACATTGAATAAAATTACCTGCATTTTACATTATTATTTTATACATAGACCAAATTTAAAAAGTACTGTAAAAACTAAATTTAAAAAAAAAGGTTTTTGCTCTCTCCATTTATTGGAACCGGAAATGAATAGGTATAGACTAAAATAAAAAAAAACTATGCAATATTTTAATATTGTATAAAAATTTGCTTCAGATTTTATCGTCTCCAAAGTATAGGAAATAAAATTAAGAAATAAAATATATATATTAAAATGAGAAAATTAATAAAGTTCACAGATTACATAAAAAAAAGGATCATGAGTTCGCTTACTTGATTAATTAAAAAAAATATAGATACTCACTCTTACTCTGTTTCTTGTTTCAATAGCTTTCATTGTTGTTATAATTTTAAACTATTACTTAATCAACGTGAACAGCACGTTTCAATTGCACTACTTGAATTACTAAACTAGTATGGGAGAATATTTGTCCGGTCAATATACATCTTATCTTTATTTGAAATCGACGTACCCTCTTATCTCTTCAGTGGGTACTATGTCAATATTTCAATAGGTTGTTTCGAACGTGGTTCGTACTCGTCAACCTACAGAAAGGTCAAAACGGGAAATGTACAGTTTTTCAATAAATTAACATTTTCTTTGGATACTGAAAGAATAATTTTGTTTCGTTTAAACTGGTTAATAACTCAAATTTTATACAAATCAGCATCCAGAACGAGATACACATACACACACACAGTATAATATTTCGTAGACCAAAATAATTGTAATATTATTAAATTGTTTTAAAGTAATGTTTTCTTCCCATGTCGTCGGCTTGGGATGTAAACCTGCTTACAGGAGAAACAAAGAACAGTATAAAAAAAAAAATTTTTAGAAACATAAAAGTACACTTATTGGGCTTTTTAATTTTACTTATTTTCAAATGAAATTAAAATGAATAAACACAATATACAATTTTTATTTTTTAAAGCACATAACTGGTAGATGTTTATTTTTGTTTGACATTAAATAGACTGTGATATTTTGGTTTGGGATTATGGTTACTTTTGTAATTTAACAGATTTTTTAAACGACAATTTTTTTAAATGATGTTCAAAGCAGTAACCGGTTTTAGCTAAAATATAAATTATCATTTAGATACATATTGCAATAAAATGGCGAAGGTTCTTTTATCAATCATAAATATTTATTAAAATAGAAACATAATATGGTCCAGTTCTGACAATGGCATCCATGAGAAAACCATATAAATATTTGTTTCTTAGTCACATCACTAATTAAATAATTTGTTCCACTAAATTTTAACAATATTAAACTTTATTTTAAATCTCATAAAAGAAATTCTTGCACTTATTTTATTAATGTTACCTAAAAGAAAACATACATTTCAACTGATTTTAAAATTCAAACAATACATCAAAGTATTAATTCAAGAATATTGATATTAAAATTAAAAAACTCAACACCCAAATATTTTCTAAAAAGTAAATCACTAAACCAACTGTTTTGGTCCTTTAACTTTTTACAAAACTAGCGCTGACCATTATTGCACAGAAGTAAAAATTAAGATGTCTTGGGGGGAAACGAGGTGCGCGGGTGGGCGTGCGTTGCGCCGATTGGCTCTCCAGTCGTACCCATGCCACGGTAATATAATATTACCGTGCCCATGCGCAGCTAACCCCTCCGCGTTTTGTTCAGCGCTAGAGTTACGTGCCGCGACCTGTATGCTGTACCCTTAGCATGAACCAATATCGAATTCGAATGGTTTGCAAGTCCCAATTGTCATTGTCAAATGTATTTTTAGTTCACGTTACTTCCGTTATGGCGCTGCTGTTCATTTTCCATACATTTGATAATGACATTTCGGATTCGAAAAATATTTGAATTCGATAATGGTCCGTGCTAAGGGTACTTTATTAGTTAGACCTAGACATCGCCAAGTCGGGGGACCCCTTTAAGCCTACCATTCACTACACGCACCGCGAGCCGTACCCATTTCTGGACAAATCCGTCATTACCCATCCACTACAAGAGTCGTTTCAGCCCAGGAATGTGGCTGAAACGACGAACAAAATATACTCATAATTTTTATTTTTTTAAAGCATGTAACTGCTTGATGTTTAAATCTAAATAAAATATAACTAGAAAAAAATCCACGCGGACCTGGCAGCAGACGGGACTCGAACCCGCACCCTTCGCAATCCGGGCGAATGCACTGACCAATTAGGCGTTGAGCAGACGACGGGGCGGGGCGGGCATTTTGTCCGCGAAGCAATAAAGACCGCGTCTGCTCGTCGATGTCTGCGGCTGCCCGCGCCGCGTACACAAAGCACACGACGGGCAGAGGCGGTCAGTTCAGCACGTTCGTTCAAGTGAATAGTCCATCACTAAAAAGCGCGTGGCGCGGACTGAGCTGACCGCCCCGCGCCGCCGTCTGCGTTACTGCATATAAACTGGGGGCCAATCGCCTAACTGGATTGCTTTGGAAAACGCTATCGCTTACGATTTTATTTTGTTATTTCTAGCCCCCTGAGGTTTTCAAATGCCTCGCGCTCTTTTTTTTTCTTTTGCATTGGTAATAACAATGTTAAAGAAAATGAGCGTGAGGTATTTCGGCGGTTAGAAATAACAAAATGAAATCGTAAGCGATAGCGTTTTCCAAAGCAATCCAGTTAGGCGATTGGCCCCCTGGTTTGTTTGATCCACGGCGGGCAGCCGCGGACATGCCGCGCCGCCACTGCCCGCCGGGCACCTGCGGCGCGGTCTTTTTGCGTTTGAAGTATAGGATTCACTTTGTGCTATTATTCGCGGCAAAATTGACCGGCCCGCCCCGCCTCGTCGTCTGCTAAACGCCTTATGCTACGCTTGCTTGAGCCGCGAGCCGCGCTCACCAATAGGTACATTCACACGCCAGTTTGTCTGCGGACTTGTCGTCAGCGACAAGTCCGGCGGATGGGCGCGCCTGTGAATGGTAGCCTTAAGAATTAGATTCATTATTATTGCTAGGTATAAGAAGTCGAGAACACTTTTTTTTTTGGCGCTCTTTCTAACGCGGTCCCCGAATTGACGATGTCACGGTCGAACTATTACGAAGTATAAATACTTTAAAATTAAAGGACCAATACATTTTTTTTTGCAGTCCAAGTCATTTTACGTCGCCAATGGTGCCAATTCTGACGTGATTCTCTAAACTTAAAACTAAATTTAACATCAGTCTCTCCTTTTCATTCTGTATAGAGAATGACAAGGATATACTGCTGTCAAATTTAAGTTTAGGTTTAGAGAATCATGCTAGAATCGACACCAATGTATTTTAATTTTTATTTATTATTTAAATATCAAAATTACTTTTAAAAACACAAAAATATTAAAATTCAGAAAGTTAAATTACATTTAAGATCTTCCAAGTCCATTGGTTCTGTGATTTAATGTTGAGATAAACTGCTAGCTCCAATATGATCGGATTCTAGGGTATCTTTCTTTTAAACAGCTTTAATTATTTAATTTTTACTAAAGATTTTAAATATTTATCAACTGAACAACAACATACCTCTGAAATATTTGTATTCTGAAAATTTACTTCATAAACACTCAAATATTAAAAAAAAATTATGAGCACCTGCGCCGGCGTCGAAAAGTCCTTAATGGCGGTTATGGTGGAGTTAGCCGCGCTCTTTTGAATTCATGGAGTTGCGGTTTTACTCATCACGCGTTTTCACTAATTTCTCAATATATTCGCTATAGCTCTTTTTCCAGGTTGTCTGTCTTTTTCTCTCTGCCGAATGGTAAGTAAAACCTTAATTCAGTGAAAATTGATACAACAGGTTTACACCCAACGCCGATGATGTATTTGTATATTATGCCGGGTCTACAATTGTGCCGTAACGTGAAGCTGCGTGAACAGGCGCGTGTACGTTGATGGTTTTCGCCATAGAGAAAGTAATTACTACGTTTCGTTTTCGCGGCTTCAGAGTACGGAGTCATCATCATTAACGGCACGAATTCACGCCATTAGTAATGGAGTCGGCACATAACCAGACCATGTAATAAATAAAACAATTTCTATTGCATTTACTTTTATTATCCAAATCCAATTTACAATGAAAATGAATGATAATAAACATTTTGTTCGATAATAATTAAACATAAAATTCATACATCTACTGACAAGAATTTCACCTTTTTTAAAGGTTTTTGGAATGGCATCTGCAACAAATTACTAACAGCATTCTACATAGATTTAGATACCCTTAGCATTAGCCAGATTAGTTAAAATAAAGAATACGACTTAGCAAATGTCTCAAATAATTAAGTATAACATATTAAAGGTACAAACAAAACAAATATATAATTTTAAAAACTTTGTTTGTAGTGAGCTGATTACCACTCAAGTTCAAATCAGTTGTATCATGTTGACTAAGGTAACTGTAAGAAATCATTATGAAGGAATCTTATATAGTTAAAACAATTTAGCTGCCACATCAATGTTAAACTTGATTGCTGCATTCAAGAAAAGCTATGCATTAAAAAAATAATTAAAAAATCTTATTTATACAGTATTAAAATTGTAAAGAAAGCAGTCCTAATTAATCGCAAGCAGAATTATATCGTTGTAGTCTCAAATGTAATTTAGCTAATCTAAACAATATGTAACTAGAACTGTGCGTTTGTCAAAAACAATATTCTCAACACCATTGTAATTACAGCATAAAATTTTATAGTGTAACTTTCAGAAAAATATCATCTCTAAGATATTGGTCGATAAAATTTTAATTAGACTGAAAAATCATTTCTCAAACAGACAATACTTTAGGCCAGTACACATTAATTTGTTATTTCACTTTGCAATATACATTTCTCATATATAATATTTCACACAGATAACAGACTAATTAAGTTCAAATATACAGTCAGTATACATTGGAAGGTATATTCAATCAAACTATTTAGGAGTCCATATTGTCAGATCGTAACAAGTGAAAATATCGCACAATTGCGTATTACACATTACAATATAATATTTCGATCATTACTATACACTAAATTATTTATATATAGATATATACTTTAGCTACACTCATAATATCACGTCAGGCAGACACATTATTGGTTAGTGCCTACTAATCTATCGTCTTTTAAGCGCCTAATTTAATGAATAACAATTTTCAACCCATATGTCATTCGTTATGTTTAAGTTTGCACAGTGTTATTAATGCTAAAACATTTTAGCTTTATTTTATATAGGTATTTTATCTATTTTTATATTAACCTGATATTTTGTTAGTTTTGTGTGGTTACAAACTGTTATATTGAGATTAGGAATTATGATCGCACTCGAGACAAAAATTAATTGTAAAGTTTATTTAAAATTGGTGTTTATATAGCACTTTATTTTTGTAGCAATAGGATATAACATCATCATCGACAAATAAGGATTAAATGTTATTATCTGCCCCAAGTGCATTTGTTAAAATTTTGCCAAGTGCTTTTATTACTGTGGACATTATTCACCTAAATGAACCAATTTCATTTATTAGTCTTAAACTGGGACATTTATGATAACACATCCAATTTACAATTATTTTTTAAGTAAGAGCTCATATTTTTTATAAACTTGTCAGTTTTGTATAAAGAAAGAAAGAGTGCTCTCCATAAAATTGGTTCAGGTTAAAAGTAACATTTTAAACTTGATGGTTATTGTAAGAGTCAATAGGTGAACAAATTAATTACATATTGAGTATAGGTATTGAAAGTTTATAGAAAAAAAAGGATTTGACTCGCACACTTACAATTTGCTTCACAAGTAACTCCAATGATTTTCATTATGTAATAAACTGTCGGTTGTATTTAATCAACTATTGAATCAATGCTGTTTACTAATGAGTCATTTACTAGCCAAATTATGCCCATGTGTAGCAAATTTGCTAAATCTCGATTTAACTAAAACTAGGTAAATATAATAATGTCAATTTGACAAAACGTTTTGTCATTTTTCTATGGGTTAAATCTAGTTCGAGATTTAGTAAATTACTGCAAGAGGGTCTTAATATTGATTTTTTAATCAAGGCTAGTTATTTATTTATTTTACTGAGATGTTAAACAACGCAAAAAAAATTCAAGCTTTTATCATTAAGGCTCACTTGCACTAAATTTGGTAAATCTCGATTAGACCCATCCAAAAATGACAATTTAACATTATTGTTTGGGCTAAATCTATTGAAGTTAAATTGAGATTTAGGGGCCGTTCATAAAATACGTTCGCATACAAGGGGGGGGGGAGGGGTCTTGCTAAGTGTGACAAGATGTGACAAGGGGGGACGGGGGGTCTTCGGCAACGTGACGTTCGTCGTACATTAAAAAAATTTAAATTAGTATTTCTTTCAACTATTTTTCTTTCTCAATTTTCATCAAGATAGAAAATCATTTATTTCGTATTTAGTTTAGTTATGCATATCTGGAGATAAAAAAGCTGGTACAGAAAATGCAGAGTGGATAGATGACGATGAAGTGGACGGTAGTTTTGAAAATGAAGAAGAAGATGTTGCAATACCAATTATAGATATTTCAGCGCATTTACAGAATCCTTGGACTTCTGATTAATAGCAATATGATTTATTTATTTGTTATGAAAAGATATTTATTTATATATTTAAATTTTATTATAAAAACTAAATAAATATTTAAATTCTTAAAATTTAATACTTGGGGGGTTGGGGGGGGGGGGGGGGGTCTCTGTTTTGGTGACGGAATATTTCAAGAGGGGTCACAGAAAGTGTGACACAGCGTGACAATAGGGGGGGAGGGGGTCGGAAAAAGCTGATTTTAGCGTGACGTATTTTATGAACGGCCCCTTAGCAAAATTGCTACAAAGGGACCTAAGCTACTGTGACATCATTATATTTGTGGACAGGACAGTAGTAAGTACGCTATACATTAGACAGATGAAATTAGATAGAACGACATAGGCTCAAAGTAAAATGCTGCATCACTGTAAATAACCTAGCATGCCACTTGTAAACATTAGTCTCTAAAAGAACCACAGAGGAAGAATACGAAATCACCAGAGGCAAGGCAACACCCGATATCAACATGGCACACCATCACATCACTTCGAAAAGTTCGAGTTAGTAACGCGAATGGAGTCATCGCACAACACTGTCACTAGCCGACTTCGCTCTTCACGTAGAATAGGAGGTAAGGGGTGGCAGCGGTTCGGACTTTCGGTTCCGCTGAGAGGAGGTCTTCGAACTCCTCGTCTGTGATTGGTTTCACTAGCTCGTCGTCGCAGGCCAGCCAGGATTGGTCGGCGCGACGAGGAAGGCAGCAGTCGCGCGCGGCGCAAGCAGGGGGAGGGCGGCGGTTAAATAGCGCGCGCATGAAGCTCGGACCCGCAGTCGTGGCGTCACCGCCGCCCCGCGAGCATCTCGACGCGCCTGAACAGTCGCGGGCGTACGCAACATAGTGTCCACCGGTTAGCGTCTGACCGAGGTGCATTATCACGCCCCATAGTACGTACCTGCATTAAAAGTCAAAATATCTTTATTCAAATTGGATGCCAAATACAACTATTCTGAATCTACTAGTCAAGGACATTTTTTAGCTGTAGAGAAAAAAATTCACAGCGTTAAACAATATATTTTTTTGTAAAAATTGTTACTTGAGTAAACAGTATTTACAGAAAATTATATTGTTACGTATATAAACTGTTCCAAACTGTTTTCTATAATTATTATTATATATTATATGAAGATTAAAATTAATTTGTATTGACACCATAACAAAATATTTTTTTTTGTAAATATTGTTTACTTATGCCCTGTGTATACATACAACCTTAAATATAATATATATAACTATATATTTACTGACCTGTGGGCGGGTTGTTCCTGGGCTCGCTTGGCACATGGCTCGCAGAAGCATGGCATCAGCAGAGGTGTAGGCGCGTGCCTGGTGATCTTCTCCATGCCTCCGCTGAATCTCTTCAATTGCAGAACTAGCAAGCGTGGTAGACGAGAGTAGCCTACGCTGCGACGAGCTTCGTTGTAGCGGAGACAACGTTCGCACCAGTACTACAATCATCGAAATTAAAATTATGATATTAATATTATAATGGTGAGTGCATTCGCCCGGATAGTGAAGGGTGCGGGTTCGAGTCGCGTCTGCTGCCTGGTTCACGTGGAACTTTTTCTAGTAAAATTTTCTTTAGATTTAAACATCTAGCAGTTTTTTAAGCATTTTGCTTAAAATATAAAATCAATTAAAATTATTATAATTTTGTTTGATAAGTATATATACATTTTTTTAAAAGAAACCTCTTTTCGGACAGGGTGTAAATGGAAAAATCAAAAAGCCAAAGTATATTTGTTAATACCACGAGTAGTATCGGAATAACAAGGAACGAATTGAAAATATGTCATTATATTTTACTATAAAATATTCGCCCGGATGTTGGCGAACACGGCGGGCATCTCGGTGATCAGGTGACATAACCGAACGAGACCTAATGCCATATATTGGTGTCAATTCTGACACGATTCTCTAAATCTAAACTTAAATTTGACAACAGTGTATCCTTGTCATTCTCTATACGGAATGAAAAGAAGAGATTGATGTTAAATTTAGTTTTAAGTTTAGAGAATCCCGCCAGAATCGATACCAATAAGGAATGAAAGAGATAAACATCAGACTGTCAGTCCCATAGTCACGTATAGGGTGAATGAACTTTTGTATCGCTTCTCGTTGGCCGTACAGGTCGCGGCAGGGGCGGATCTACTTAAAGGCTTTTTGGGCTGCAGCCCAGGGCCCCGCGAATACAGAGGGCCCCCAACCGAACTGAAACCTATAGACGATATTGTCAGTAATATAAATTATCTAGAATTAAAAAAAATCCGATCATAAGGTTGGCAACACTGCGATCAATCAACCCGTGTGCAAACGAAATCTATCAAACGGAACGGGGAATTCCCTGTCGCTTGTTTTCGGTCGGTGTATTCCGTGTACTGTCTATTATTGACTTCCCCCCGCTTATCGCCCGACGCTATTTTTTATTTTTAGAAATGTGTTAAGTGCGTGTGTTTAGTTTAGAAAATTACAGTTTGGTCGAGAAAAAGAAAGAAATAAATTCGCAAAAATTAATATTTTTTTAATGCACAAGATATAAACGCGAATGAAATAGTTAATCCGTTAAAAAACGTAAAGGAAGGTATTTCATGCGAAGAGTATCTAACCGAAGGAAGCAAAAAATCGCAAAACAAGGAAAAAAAAATACAAGTGATGAAAATATGCAAGATTTAAAAAACCAGAAAAAAATACCAACGACGAAAATGTGGAATATCTTGACTTCCAGCAACCCGCTGGTTCCTCTGTTATCGAAATTGGTGTTCAGCAAAAGGAAGGTAATACCGATACCGAGGTGGAAAGAAATTTAGAAAATATTAAGTTTCAGTTTGAGAAATATGTTGACGTGGGCTTGTGGCCAGATTTGCTAAATAATGAATTTATTTTGCAATAAATAATGTTAAAATTAATAAATAAAATATTTTGTTTTCCTATTTTCTTCCTGTACCTAACATATTATATTACATTACTATACCTACATCACTACAGAAAACAGTTTCTTGTCAAAATGGCAATTAGTTGAGTAATTAAGTAGGGCCCCTAAGCAGTATTAGCCCAGGGCCCCACAAATTCAAGATCCGCCCCTGGGTCGCGGCATGTAACTCTAGCGCTGAATAAAACGCGGAGGGGATAGCTGCGCATGGGTACGACTGGAGAGCCAATCGGCGCACGCGCATTTCTGTTTCGCCCAGACATGTTAATTTTTTCTTCTGCGCAATAACGGTCAGCGCTAGAGTTTCGTGCCGCGACTTTATTTTATGTCCATTAGTGTAAACAGTGTTTGCTAGACGGCAAATACACTTCATAAGTCCATTTGTATATAGATTATTAGAAAAGAAAAAGAATTAAAAGTTTACTAGAAAAAAAACCACGTGGACCAGGCAGCAGCCAGGACTCAAACCAGCACCCTTCTCAATGCACTGACCTGATCTGACTGATCCGGGCGAATGCACTGACCATTATGCTACCGCGGCCCTGACGGCCGCGTTGAATTTTCTCTAGCCTTAGGCTGCAAGGCAGCGCCATCTCTTCGCATTGTAGGTAACCCAAAATGTCAAATGAATACCTTATATACCAGCCTAAAAATAAAAACAAATGTAAACCTTGTTCTGGTCGCGCAAGTACTCGCTGGAGAGGCATGCGGCGCGGAAGGGCTCGTCGGCGGGCTCGTCTCCCCCCACGGGCACGCACAGTTCGCACACCGCTTGAGCTCGCTCCGTCACAGTCTCGCACTCCAGGCACATCGTGCGGACTACCATCGTGCCTGGGGATTGCAACAAATATACAATTAGCGCCAGCTCACACCGAAACGCGACGCTGCGCGCACTTTTTAAGAGCGGACATTTGAGAAATAGGTATTTGAAAACACGATTGCAAATACCATTCGGTAGGGACAACAGTAGTTAACGCTGCAAAATTCGAGGTTTGGCTCTCCAAGATTTCTTCCTGGAAAATTAGATTTATGTAAAAGAAATTTTACACAAAGAATAGTAAGTAGTCATTATGCCTCTACTTTTAGAATTTTTTGTAAATGCGTATTACATCATCACACTAGACGTCGTCAGTGGTGATAAAAATTTGTTTATTTTTGGCCTTTTTCGAGGGCTTCTAGTTTCTTTGAAATACAAGTTATCGAAAAAAGGAATAGACATAGGGGCATGGAATGAGTAAAATTGTATTTTATGTAAGAATATCAATTCTTTAGTGATATAAATCAAGGAGGAATCAGTCGAGAACGTTTGTATGGAAAAAAATGCCCGTCTCATCTCTTATTAGATTGACTCAAACAACGATATTTAAAGCCCTAGATACAGACCCATCGAGCTCCGTGGAATGATCGCGAGAAGACATTATTTAAACATTCGAAGTCACCATTAATGCATCGTAAGGTTTTAATTTACTCATTTATTTCATGTTTCTAACAGTTCGAAATGCAAGCTCGTAAAAACTTGTCGCTGTAGACGGAAGAATTTATTTCTATGACTTTGTATGATAATTCTAAATGCGCTGTTAGCAATTAGCAGGTACGGAGGGCGAGGGAAAAAGATAGCTACATAACCGACCATGCATTTCATTATTATTGTATATCTTTAAATTAGATTATAGTTAGTAATAGAGCAAAAATTGCTTTAAATGCGTTTAATCAACAATCAATGTGACTGTGAACAAAGAAGTGCTTGGGTATTGTTCAAGCAATTCTTGATTGGGACACGTGTTGAGCGCACGTGGTGTATGTATATAGGGTATTTAATATCCTTGGGTTTCCCATACAAACTTTCAGCCTTTTTTCACCCCCTTTAAGGTGATTTCCTGGATAAAAACTATTATTGTAGTTCCCGGGTTTCAAATTATCTCTATACCAAATTGCATCTAAAACGATTCAGTGGTTTAACCGTAAAGAGGTAACAGACATAATTTCTCGTTTATACTATTAGTATGGATAACTGGCGCCAATAATTCTTTATTGGCACATATTATTTCTGACACACAGGATTTGCAACAGGGACGGCATGTGTTTTCTTTATTGGCGCGAGTTATTAAATAAGTATCTTTATTAACACGATTTTAAGGATCGACTGAGGAGCTCGATGGCGCCGGTGGTTAGCGCGTTTGGCCTGCAATCGTAAAAATGAAGCAACTAAAGGGTCGCTCATTGGATTACATTTTATTATAGTTTTATTTTTTATTTAATTTCATTGTTTTGTATATCATAATTTGTATTGTATATGAGTACCAAACCTGAGATAAATATAATATTATTATAACAAAATGGCCGCATTAGAAATTGGCTCAAGAACAATAATTGAATTTTTTTTTTCAATTATTGAAAAAAAAAATTTTTCAATTAACTTTAACTGAAACCTAGAAAAATAAAATAACAGCAGCTCATCTCACTTTTGAAATATGTTCTTATCTAGCTATATAGCTATCATGCACACAACAAATCAGAAATATTATAGAATACGTACTGCGCCAAAGTGGTTCCACGCAAACTGCGATCAAGTGGACAAGGAAATCAAAACTATGATCAACACGCCGATAAGGGGGGATTAGTTGCGATTACCGTTTAACATTATTTTCCCAATGAATGAAAAGCCGAATTCAATTGCTAAATTTAGATTTGTCAAAGTATTTTGTTTTGTCTGTGCATGTTGCGTTAGTTGAAGTTTAGTTGTATGAGTTTGAAACCATGTTTTAGCAGCTTTTGTTAGATAGTAATGCTTCCATATCATTTCTAATTCCTTGGATGCACAGAACATCCCGTTTTCAATCTAAATAACACACATTTCAAACAATAATTGAGCAATATGGACTCTAGTGCGAGTGATCCGATGTCTAAGAGTAAGTCCTTTATAAATTACCATCTTTACATATTATAAGACAAAATCGCTTCCGCTGTCTGTACGCTTAGATCAGTAAAGCTACGCAGGGGATTTTAATTAATGTACAGTTTACAATAAATGCCTTAGAATGGAAACTATATTCTTTGACGAAGCGAAACGAGGGCAGGTCACTTGTAAATAAAGAAATATTGAAATCTAACCTTCAAAATCTTCGGCCACAAAGTCCCAGCCAGGTCTAGCCTTCTCATCCTTTTCGGGGTCTGCGGGTGGAGGGTTCTTCTCTTCTGTGGTGGAGTTTTTCTTCTCATTGGCTAGAACTTCCTTGCGTTTCTTCCAAGACTTCCGCAAGTTGCCTAGCGTCGGCTTAGAGTCGCCGTCTAGACTCGGCTGCCGGCCTATACCATTGCTATAAAGGAAACATATTCTGATAGGAGCTCGATGGCGCAACTAGTTATCGCGTTCGGCTGCAATCGTTGAAGCTAAGCAACTTTCGTAGTGGTCGGTCATTGGATGGGTGACCAAAAATTTACTACAGTAGAACGCCGATTATCCGAATTAATTGGGACCGGGGTCGATTCGGATAATCGGACATAGAACGGTAATAAAGAAAAACGAACTGTCACACATAGAATAAACCTTATAAGTTTAACAAACACAGTTCTACAATACTAAATACAATAATAGAGGTACATAGAAGCAAAAAAACCGCGCCGCGCTAAACATGAAGTGTCTTGCCTCTAGCTTTCAACCATAACAGATGAAATATTATCTTGACTCCAGCGAGTTCTAACTTGTTACAACAAAACAAAACAAAAATAACTTGGTTTTAATTTTTTATATTACGCTTAGGACTGATTCGGATAATTGGCGATTCGATTCGGTTAATCGGCGTTATACTGTACTTCGGAAAGCATGTTAGGCCGTTGGTCCACAGGGCCCGCGCAGTGGGTCATCATGGCCCAATCTCCTTATTCCATCTATAGGGAAGGCCTGTGCAGTGGGGCAATTAATAGGCTGATGATGAAGCAACATATTTTTTTAAAAGCATCGAAGTTGGACAACTTTCGCAATGGGCGGTCGTAGGATGGGTAACGAAAAATTTACCATCTGCACCTGTGCTTTGAACATAAATTTGAGCTCAGACTATGCTATACTATTGCGCTATATAGTATACCGTTGGAAGTGAGGTCATACATTATAGTATAGCTTGGCGTGTCCAATGAAAAAAAAGTGTTTTAGTTTTTTTACTAAAATACTCAACAGAATGGTGAATTGAATATCCATTCATATCATATCTCTTTATGGACTCTACAAAAATTAGTAAATAACGTGAGATCGTATTGTTAAACTTGTCAAATACAGACAACAAGAAAAAGCTGGACTATTTTATTACATACCTTTCACCATTTTCATGCAATTGTAGTCGTGATGCGCGTGCGCTGAGCGCTCGGCACGTTTCTCTGATGTTATCCAGCAAACATACTAGAAGCTCGTGTGCGTCTTGTTGTCTATTACCTAAGCGATTGGCAATATACATAAATTAATTTGAAATATTATTGATAATAAGTCGTGAAGTATATTAGGGGACAACGTAATTAAGTTATAACTAGAGTTCGGACAATCAGATGCATATTTACCTTATTTTTTGACTACCAAATAATGGAAGCTGGCCTCTTAGGATATTTTTATTAAAAGTAAAATCTCAATATTTCGGGATCGCATAATTAGTCGGATGTAAAAGATACTATGAGATGATAAGATATATTTAATTTCCCATTCAAGTTTGTGTGTATGTAAGGTGTAAGAGAAATGGTGGTGTGATTAATGAGAAAACATAAATGAATATAAATTTATTTACCTATTCATGAAACTTGTGTCATTGTTGTTTTTAACATTTGTGTCAATCTGGGTTTATTATATCTCTCTTATCAGGGGATATTTTCATTAAAATAGTGCTTTCCATAATAGCCAACATCTTAACTTTAGGTAAATATGCATCCGATTTCTAGTTATAAAAATAGCCATATATGTACATTGTACATATTTGTATGTTAATGGGGCTTATCACAGTCTTAGAGCGTGCGCTGCGTTAAGCGGGGCACGGAGCGGGCGTACGCTCGGCATGTTTGTTTCATGATATTTCGGCTGTGCTGCGTGAGGCGGGTATTTACGAAATGATATAAAAACTGAACGTCGAGCGGATGCTCGTTGCGTGGCCCGCTTAACGCAGCTCAGGCTCTTACAGTTAATTTGTTCTTTGACATCCATATAACTTGTAACATATTACAGTTAAATTGTTCTTCGACATCCATGTAACTTGTAACATATGTTTCACAAATATAGATTTAATTAATGTTTAAAAATTCGTTTTTTTAAAAGCTACGATACTGTAATAGATATAACTATTTAAAAACCATTTAACTGTATAATGACAGTTCATTTTAAGAACATTAGGTTTATTAGGAAGATCAGCATTGAAGCCTGATTTAATGGATTTGAATTTGAATTGTAATAGATATAACTATTTAAAAACCATTTAACTGTATATGACAGTTCATTTTAAGAACATTAGGTTTATTAGGAAGATCAGCATTGAAGCCAGATTTAATGGATTTGAATTGTAATAGATATAACTATTTAAAAACCAATTAACTGTCTGATGGCAGTTCGTTTTTAGAACATTAGGATTATTACGAAGATCAGCATTGAAGCCAGATTTAATGTATTTGAGAGTTTTTTTTCTATTACCTTCAAATGTAGAATTAACATCCCTAAGCGCAGCAAGAAAGGCATCTGCGGCGTAAGGCTCCGGACTGGCGTCAGAATTATTGCTGTTTATGCACTTACTTTCTGCCGCACGCAAGTTGAAATAAGTTTCGTGCAATTTCTCTGTTGCTATCTGTAATATCAAATATATAAACCAGGATTTAAAAATAGTAATGCATAGGTATAAAAGAAAACTGGCCCATGTAAACTATTAATTATAGTAACCTGTGTCAGTGGCGGATTTACCCTAAGGCACGGTAGGCCCGGGCCTAGGGCAGCTACATTTAGGAGCGGCTTCAATCGACACCCTAATCTGACAAAATTAAGTGCGTCAGAAATCAAAGAAAAGCATTGCAAATAATTTATTCTACTGACTTAACAAATAAACACACCATAAAAAAAGAAGATTGGAACAGTGCTTGAGTCAGTTAGTTGAAATGGTTACGAACTGGGTCTTCAATGCATTTACCCAAACATGGACATTGCTTTTTGTTGAAATTTACTGTCTTGAGCTCCTCCGTGCTTCGGAAGGCACGTTAAGCCGTTGGTTCTGGCTGCATCTGCAGTCCTTAGCACCCACCAACCTGCACTGAGCCCGCATGGTGGATCATGACCCAATCTCCCTAATCTATCCATAGGGAAGGCCTGTGCTCCAGCAGTGGGGACATTAATAGGCTGATGATGATGATGAGATATTTAAATATTTAACTCGCAATTAAGTGTTAAAAGTTGATAACACTCTTGTATAAGTTATCATAACCAAGTATGCCAAGTTGGCAGAGTATGTTAGAGCAAATAACAAGTTATGTACCTTTATCATCATCACCTTATTCTTAAGAAATTTTTAAATTTCTAAACCTATTTAGATAAAAGTTTTTAAATTTCATTATGTAGTCTATGGTGGATGCTGAGAAAGGGGCGGCTGATGGCTTGGGGCCTAGGGCAGTCTAGACTGCAAATCCACCACTGACCTGTGTAACTTATTATTGTTGATTCAAGATTTCAAATACATTGTTATCTTGTATGTTATAAGTATAAAAGAAAAAGATATGTAAACAGGGATACCTTATCATGAAATGAGTGACAGCACACTGCACTCTAGATAGATTTAGGATTAGATAAATATACCTGTATTTTACTCTTCCCAGAGCTGTTGTCTGATTGTCCAAGAGATAAAAGATCTTTGCTACTCCACGATCTTGCCCCAGATGATGCTAGACCTGCTGCACTACGGCCTAAAGAGGAACTCTTCATACGAATACTGCCTAGCTTTTGTTCGACACTGGCAAGATCTGATACAAGGTGATGGAGGTTATGAAGGAAACGAGGTGCATATCTGAAATAAAAAAATATAAAATAAACTGCACTGTAAACTAACAGGAACTGATATCTTATATATATATATCCCATATACTCTTATGTTTATATACTTATTTTAAAAATCATATTATAATCCTATATAATATGATATATAGACATTGAACCATAAACAATATCTTTGTATGTGCAACACTGATTTTAAAATAAAAAGACTTCAACCTAAACCAATTAGATTTTAGGGATTATTAAACTTATTTTCAAATATGGACTATACTCAGACTCAGCTGTCTCTGTTTTCTTCATACCAGACGAAGGTGACACCATAATTTTTAGATTTCTTTTTAGTCAACATTTTGTAATAAGTTGGCTTTAGTTTAGAATAAATGTCAAATTGTTTCTTAAACTCACATGATGTGAATAATGTTGATAAATAAATGCAAACAACTTTATATTTAACTTGCATGATTTCATTATGTTAAAAATATTATTATCCAAAACCTTTTAGTTCCCAACATTATCTATAGAAGAAAAAAGTTAAGCAGTATATTGAATAATAATAATATGTGGTTTATGTCAAACCAACATCTACTCTGTGCAATAAATATAACTTTAAGACATAGTTCACAATATTCTGAAAATGAAATGAAAATATATTTGGTGGTTTAGTTAATGATAATATAAATATATTGGAAATATTTATTTATACATATTTACCGTAAAGTATAGAGAACACTGTTGAGGAAGCAGGTATTTCCCAAGTTGGAGAGAGTGGCAATTGGAATCTTTTTCTGTGCAGCTCCATACTGATTGTCTGACTGGTGATGGCCATTCAACATGGCAATGCTGGCAGGATTTGTCTTGACAATTATTAGTTCTGGTTCGGGTAATTTTTCTATAAATATTTTTAGAGGTTTTATTGAATTTGAAGGCTTAAGTTATAATTGGTTTGCCTAAACAATGATTGTATTGACAATAATTCGTAGGTACCACATATTTATTTTGTATTCTTTTAGCCATATACTATCTTACAACATACTTTTAAAATAGTGCCTAATTTTGTTATTTTTTGTTTTAATGATTTCTATAATTCATAGTTGGGAAAAAGAATTGCGATGTCTTATTAACACCTAAGCTTATTACAAGCAAAAACAAAATAAAGGTTTATTTTTCCAAAAAGAAAGCGTGTAAAAATATTACAATATTCGAGGTTATAGAAGAGTAGAAATATTTTTGTAAGTTTAGGTACCTATTTCATAAGGAATATGAATACTGACAATTTACAAAGAATATAAAGATATGTTTACGGTAAAGTCTTATGTAAAAGCGATCCGGGATAACATACAATAAGCGTAATGTAGGTAACAAACATGGCACATACCTGTGGGCTTTGAAGTCTCTGTAAGAGGTTTTAACCTTTTCGCGACACTTAAAGTATTGAAATAAGTGCTTTTCAGAGACCGTTTCAATGGCTTGTTTTCTTTATTATTGTTTATTGAGGGTATAAACGGTTCACTGTTCTCTTTTGATTCACCAGGTTTTTTATTGACGTTACTTACACATGCAGCATTATTTCTATTGAGCGATAATGAAAATCTGGTTTTGTCTATTCCTCTTTTAGTTTCAGATACGGGGTTAACTGGCATCTTCAGAATACCTTTAATAATAGCAATAAGTAAAAATTTTGTTATTTAGGCCACTAAACACTTTCCCAAGACATGTCAAGGAAATTTTACAGTGAATGTCCAACACATTACTTACGGATATTTCTTTAGTAAGTTCATTGGCTTACATTATATAGTAAGACAACGTTTACTCAATAAAATAATATTATGTAAACTAAAATTTCGCGAACGTTAACCGCGAACAACTCCTTTCATAGCAGACGGCCATGTTGATTATTTGATTGATAGATGTGTGATGTCGTTCCATTTTACTTCTCATATTTAAAATACCTTTTATAGATGGTTTCGCTTGGGTAAAATAAATGAGGTAAAACATAGAAGAATATTAAGGCATTTATGTGTTTTGTCAATGAATGTTTTTAAACTATATTTCAAATGCATAAATTCACGTTACAAGCTAACAAAAAAAAATTGGGTCTATGACTAAGCTGTAAGGTTAAATATCCTTTGCTTTGATTTTGCTTTCACACACTTTCTTAATGAAAACAAAGGATACTAAGCCCATGCAGTTTAGGATTTGAATAGTTTTCGTGAATGTTATTTGTTACCAAGAAAAGGACAATAATACAGCTCAGCCGTTAAAAGAAAACGCCGTTAAAAGGAATCGCCGCGTGTCGCTCGCGTTGCGTGTTCTGTTTCGCTCGTTCGATTTTATGTTTATTTTGTTGTTGTTGCTTAGGTAGTTCTTTTTCCAATTCCAGAGCATAATGCAACACAGTGGCGCACAATACCGAATTATGCTGATGCATAATTGGAACGTGAATTAGTTTTCAAATGCACCAGCAGAGTGCGCTTAGTTCAATGTTGAAAAAAAGTCAATGTTGCTGCCTTCATCCATACTTAAATATATTTTTTTAACACAGTTTGAATTAACTGTGATTATTTAAAAAAACTACAATGAAATGAAAACTTAAAAAAAAAATTCAACGATGAATAATATTACCAACGTTAAAGAAAATATTTCGATCAATGTCAACTTAAAAAATACATCTAGCAGTTAAAAGCTTGAAGAAAAAAAAACTTAAAAAAAACAAACCTTAAAAAAAACACTTAATTTTCTGTCACTGAGTTGGTACGATTGCATACAATACACGAAAACATTACTTTTGAGAGTGCTCGATTATGCGCGTTGCTGTAGTTGAAACATTCAACGTTAAGCATTATGCCGCATAATGCGCTCTAGTGCTGTAATTGGAAAACTACTATGGCTAGTTCTCGAAACGAAAAAAATATGCGTCTTCTTAGAGAAACTAGATTTCTTAAAATAATTTTAAATATTGTTTATTGTGGTTTGGCATGCAGCATACCTTGGACATATACATATTAGGGCCTAACTAGGGTCACAAGTACAATGACAAAAGAAATCCCACCAAAAACATTTTATTGTAAAATATTGCCAAGACGAGAAGATGTACGTTATACAAACTATTCTACTACTGGGGTACTGTACCTACCCTTAGCATGAACCAATATCGAGTTCGAATAGTTTGCGAGTCCGAAATATCATTGTCAAATGTGTGCTGATTTTTAGTTCTCGTTACGTCCGCTATAGCACTGCTGTTCAAGTTTCCATTAAAAATTTTACAATGACACTTCGCACTCGCTAACTATTCGAATTCGATATTGTTTCATGCTAAGGGTACAGTACCCCAGTAGTACAATAGTTTGTATAACGTACGTAACGAGAATTGTCTAGTGCTAGTCATAATTATGGTCGCGTCTTGGCAATATTTTACATGAAAATATTTTTGGTGGGATTTTTTTTGTCTTTGTAAATTGCTTGTGATATTATTTTATTTATTTTTTATTACTTATAAACAAGGAGTCCTTATATCAATATTTAGACCTCTAGCGTCAAAATTGTGGAAGTCTCATACAAATGCTCAGCGCTCAGTAACATCTTGGATTTCATGGCGCAAACACGTTATGGAACGCAGGAGAAAACTTCTGAAACTTCTTTTCAAAACAATACAAATGCTTTTGAATCAATATTTGGTAGTATCCTTCTTCAATTCTGCTTTTAAAGATAGGGTCGATTGGTTCTCTTTTTTCATAATATAACAACAGCAGCTCGTCATCCTCTTCTTCTTCTTAAAGAACGTCAATTAGCACTTCGACCATGATTTAGACTTCGGTAGACACACGTCTAGAGGGATCTGACGAACAATACCGACTAACTTAACTTCGACATTCGTCGGCCGCGGGCCGCGTCTGTCGCGGGCTCCGGAAGCGGTGCCATACATTTTCATACTCTGACTATTGTCGCAAGCGACCGACGACAGTCGTAGGCCGCGCGCGGCCGCGATCGATCGCGATGCACGGAATAGTACCTTATAATGGGGCAAAGAACTATGAGAGACTAGAAAGAACTAGAATCTGGTGCTTAGTGGGTGATAACGGACCCAGCGTGGATTGGTAGGTGATAACGGACCCAGCGCGGATTGGTAGGTGATAACGGACCCAGTGCGGATTGCTGGAAGATAACGGACCCAGCGCGGGTTGGTGGATGATAACGGACCCAGTGCGGATTGCTGGATAATAACGGACTCAGCGTAGATTGGTGGGTGATAAAAAATGAACCCAATGCGGATTGGAGGGTGATAAAGGACCCAGCGCGGATTGGTGGATGTTTACTGACCCAGCGCGGATTAGTGGATGTTAACGGACCCAGTTCGGATTGGTGAGTGATAACGGACTCAGCGCGGATTGGTGGGTGATATTGGACCCATTGCGGATTGGAGGGTGATAACGAACTCTGCGCGGATTGGTGGATGTTAACGGACCGAGTGCGGATTGGTGAGTGATAACGGACCCAGCGCGTATTGGTGGGTGATAATGGACCCAGTGCGGATTGGAGGGTGATAACGGACCCAGCGCGGATTGGTGTTTTTTTTTCTATCAACAAATCTTCAGGTGAAGTTTATTGGAGCTAAAGAAGTTTCACTTCAGTCGTGTGGTCATAAGCGCACTCCTTTTTTTAACCATCATAAGTGTCCCAATTTTGAGCAGGTTTTGAAATGCTTTATGGGAAACCTGTTGCAAAAATAGTTGTTTTGTTATTAGTATGAGTATTTTGCGTCGAAGCATTGGTTAATTTTCTATGCAATCGGTATATTTGCTGTGTAATCACTATATTTGCTGTGCAATCAGTATATTTGCTGTGCAATCAGTATATTTGATATGAAAATCATATTTCTGTACAATTAAATTACTACAGTTAAGACATATATTTTTTAATTATTTTCAGCACTAGATTTGTTCAACAAATGTTTTGTTTGCAGTAAAATAATTGTTATGATGTAAAAAGTATTTAATTACTGTAAATAAGTTGATGGGTAATAAGTTATTTAAAAATATCCCGCTTTAAAATAGTGTTGCTACCGAGCTGACGACTACTATTTTATCACCCTCTATGCCAATCAAAAAATAAATTAAGAAATAGGCCAAAACACATTATCAGAAAAATATTTCACCTTTATTACATTTTTCCAAAAGATGAAATTTTCATATGCTTTTATGCATACTATATGTTTCTTGGGATTTAGTACAGTCAATCTGTCGAAAAAAAATCGTTTCAGTGAAAAAAAAACCTAAAGGGTAAGTCTTGTTTTGCTGTTGCCAAATGACGTCAGTAAGCCACCTTGGCGATGGGCATGTTCAACTCGTAGACGTTTTTTGAAAAACTCAAAAAAACCCATAAAAAATTTTTTGAAACGCATTTTTCTTGTATTGTATGCATTTTAGAAACTTTTTTTTCAACCATAATTGTAGAGGGCGTTGAGTACTACAATTTATGTCATTGTTGCAATCTCGTACAACAAAAAATGCGCATTGTAGGTGGCGCTAAAGTCTCAAAAAAAGTGTTTTTTCACCCTGAAAATATCATTTGAATGGAAAACTTTAAATGGAAAAGTTGTTCCGTACATAATTAACAACAACTTTTGTATAAACAATTATTTTAAATTACTTACAGTTTTCAAGTTACAGTTATCATGTATTAATTCAAGTTGCACATCTGAAATATTTTTTTTTCCAAATGTTGCTCAGACGCATTAACAGCAGGAAATAAGTTAATAACAATTTAGAATTTTTATCCCATATGTTCGACAAAATAATCATTACATACAAAAAGTATGTAAAATTGCTACTGCGCATGCTTCCTTGCCTATGGTCTTCGTTGACTCAAAAAGTTGGCCGGGGTGTATAACGGGGAGATTAAAATGCTATTTTGGTCCCTATAAACAGAGAACAAACTAGCTCTTTTCGAATAGATGTGATGATGATAATCGCTCGTACCATGTTTTGTTGATACACATTATTTTTAGATTTTATAACTCGGACAAAAAGTATTGTCCCTTGTCTTTAGCCCCAAATCAGACTTTAGATTAGCGTCGATATAATATAGCTCTTTAGAACTCATACGATCGAATCTAATTTCTCTATAGAACCTGACTAGAATATGCTGACCTGCAACCATCCAAACATACAGACAAAACTTTTCAGAATGTAGATAGCTAGTCAAAATTTATTATTTAAAAACTTTCTCGTGAACATGGATGGATTCTGTCAAAGATTCAGTTTGAAATTCTGGGAATAATGTGAAAAACGGAAAAAGGGTATTATTTACGGCCAGTTTCAATAATAAACCTCCAGTAAAAGGTAAGGATAATCTGGTTCCTTTTCTTAGAAACGGTTGTTTATATAGTCTTTACTAAAAATAGCATAGCAACAAACAGTAGGCCTACCTCTTAGTGGAGTTTGATAAATGAAACTGGCCGTTAATGATTGGTGTGCATGAAAACATTGAAGATATAAAATTATTACGATCGATGGAGAGTATGAACGAATCTTGTTGCACTTTCGGAAGCGTTCTTCACACGCTTATTTTAGACATTGCCTGAAAGGGATCACCTAATTTTCGTGGTGGATGGTGGATAAATGAATGTAATTATTCAAGCCAGCTCCAAGTATTAGCCAATTAATCAATTTAACCGTAAACAAGTCCCGAATTTGTTACAGGCATACAGACTTTCAGTTTCGTGATCATTAATATACAAAAGAAGGTAGGCGAAAATCCGGCAAATTTAGAAATATACAGAATCTCTAGGGTTTAATAAAATAGAAATTTTAAGCCGTACCTAATACAACCACATTAATCATTCAGTTTGATTCCAACAGAAGATTTGGAGTAAGGGTTTTGCGAACTGGCGGTTTTCTCTTTTGCAGAAGGTTCGCTTTGAGCTCCTAAATCTTTAGGCGCGTCAACTTTTCGACGAATAACT